CAGCTCAGCTTTCTGTAGCTGACCAAAATAACTTTATGTCGGTTATGTATACTATCAATAATGATAACCAATGAAATGGTATTGAATAAATACACAGAAAATAGCTTTGAAGTAATGAGTTACTTTTTCCCTGTTGCTGTAGCCTAGCTTGCTACATCTCTTAGGTAGGGTGACCATATGTCCTCTTTTACCCAGACATGTCCTCTTTTTTAGGGGCTGTCCAGGCTTGTCTGGCTTTGTCCAGTAGTGATGGGCACGGCAGTTCTTTTGGATGTACTGAATCACTAGAATCAGTTCACTAAAATGATTCGTTCAAAAGATTCATTCACCAAATCACCGAGCAGCAGTTGCGCTTCTGACAGCTCAACTGAAGTAAGAAACGAATGAATCACTTAAGGAAGTGATTCAGGTCAGTATGTTCACTTAAAAGATTCGGTTCTTTTGAATGAATCGTTCGCAAAAGGCACAACACTATTGTCCAGGGGAGTTGATATAATCCTTCAAATGTCCGCAGTTTTGTACAGAAGTTTTGAGTTTGTGTCACGTGAACTTACTGAGTGAGAAGCGCGAAAAAGACACTCGATCCGACCCGAAAAACTCTCTATATTAACTTCCTGCGACTCCGTCCCCGCGTAGTCGTGTTCTCTTTTTGGGAAGTCAGAATATGATCACCCTATTAGGGGGTGGCTTTGATGTGGTGACACCAAATTTTATGGTGAGTAACCAAAAGCATAGCTTACTGCCCACAGCTACTTCGATATTGTTTGTGTCGTTGCTGCCAAAGTGGTGAAAACAACAGATTTCTATACCAAGGACTGTTGAAGATAATGGACAGCACAACAACTCCATGACTAGATGCAGTGTATAAGCCAGAATGACAACTCCATTATAACAGATGAGGGAAGTTTCCTTTTGATTAGTTATTTGATGCTAAAAAGAGAGGATGTGCTGTAGGAGCAGAGTAGAATTGCAACGAAGGGAGAAAAGATAAACAAAAAAAGTCACTGAACTCTCTGTGAGTATCCGCTTCAAATTGTCCATATTTTTCACATGAGCCACACAGATTGTTTCCTCCTGTTTGAAGTTGTTCCTGATACGCTTAGTTGAGCAGCTGCTGCCTGAAAAGCTACGCTTCTGCACAGATGTAAAAGTGCTGAGGTAAACTCTAAAAGCCACCCAGTATAAATCCCAAAACGACAAACCCTCCTTTAAATATTCCTCGTTTTTTATCCCAACTTAGCTAACTTGCTCGACAGTAAACTGGCACTAGCTCAATAGCTACTAAAGTCTGACTCTGTCCAGCGGGACTTCCTGTGCCACAGAGCAGCTCTGCTTCAGCGTTTTATGACCAAAACTCCAGTCTGCCAAAAAAAAAAACAGAAAAAAGGAAAAAAATAAAGGACAGGAAGGTAGCGGTACTTTCTAACACACAGCCAATAACTCTCTCCCCCAGCAGCAGAAGTTCGAGCTGGAGTAAAACAGACTTTATGGTGCTGAGCAGACAGACAGCAGGACGGACCGAGAGAAAATAGGTGCAGACTAAAACAAAAAAGTACAAATAAATAACAGCGAGGGAGAATAGCGAGGGGAGTGTAAAAGGAGATATAAATTGTAGCAGGGTGCGGGGCTGCAGGGAGGCCGGGCAGCCTGATGAATAGAGCCATCAGGCTAAGCAGAGGCTACAGAGCAGCCTGCCATCTGCCTGCCCATTACTAGAATAGAGTGTATGACAGTCTCCTCTCATCTGCAGGCCCCACTGGCATCCCTAGAAACCAAGAACATTTCTTTTTTTTATGCGTGTCTCCTCTCTTGATTCTGAACAGGAAGGAGCGTCCCCGCCTTTCCGAAACCATCACATTTTCATGCTGTCTTCTGCTGCCGTGTTTTTAATTTGTGCGGGTGAATGCATTTGTCAAAAGCTTGTATGTATTCGAAGCATATTGTGTGGAAGTGTGTGTTTGTGTTTGCGAGGCAAGGGTGTCCCTCAGAGAAGAGTTACAGCAGCGTGGCAGACGCTTCACACCTCATTGGCAAGCAAGGAGAGCCAATCACGGCCAACAGATCCGCCCCTCAGGCTGCCTCAGTATCCTTGATGAGTTAGAGAGCGAGGGGAAGAAAGAAAGCAAGTGGAAAAAAGTTTGAAAAAGGAGCAGAAGGAGAGTGAGGCGGAACAAAAGAACAAAAAGGAACGACTCAATGCAAACACAAGAATGGGGAGAGAGACCAAACAGCACAAAGAGACGCGCAGACGGATGAGAGCTGCAGCGAAAAAGCTATTTTTTTTCCCTCAGAGAAGGTCATTGAATCAAATGTGATGAGTCATCATGGAGGATGCTGCCTTTTTGTTTAGCAGAGTGCTTTCTGTTCTTTCAGAGACGGGGAAATATAGGACTAAAATATATAGTAAAAGCATCAAATTAAATTGCAGCTTTATTGTAATCGCTTTATGCAGTCGAACAGGGGAGTGTTGTTTGTGGCAGTGAGGAAGTTTCACTGCTCAAACAGGGACAGATGGTCCAGAACACTTATATAGACACAGTTGAAACTTGACTGACACGAACAGATATAAATAACAGAGGCACAGTTTGTTTGCAACTTTTTTTATAGCTTGTTGCAGACAGATGAATTGCATTTATAGGCTTGTGAAAGTCAAGTTTTGCATTTTATAGTGAAATGACTGTTTTGCTGTTGCTATGACATCAATTTTGACCTCTTGTATATGATCCTTATGCTGTGTTCCAGTAACCCGGAAGTCAGAAGTCCGAGCTGAAAATGACGTCACACCCGAGTTATCAGCGTTTCAGTTCCCAAGTCGGAAAAAAAGTGAAATCGGAAGGGAAAACAAGTTAGCTACATCCATGAAACTTATTTTAGCGTTTGCCTTGTCCGAATTGAAGGCAAGCACTAAAATAACTTTTGTAGATGTAGCCATCTTGTTTCAGGCCTTCGATTTTGCTTTTTTCCGACTTGGTAACTGACACGCTGGTAACTCGTCATTTTCCGCTCTGACAACTGACTTCTGAGGTAACTCAAATGTAGCATTAAAATCAACTTGTCTCCCAAACTTGAAAAGTTTTTCATAGATTTTGGTCATTCATACACATCTAAGAATATCAAGCATGATAAAGACATGTTCATGGCAGACCCTTATGTCTCTACAAGTGCTATGAACCATTTAACTGTTAAAGTTCCTGGCTGTGCTCCTTTAATATCATAAATCCTAGTTTTCTAAAATAGTTCATACCTGTTTAAAAAAAGTTTCCTTTCTTAAAAAGAGAATATTTTTAGCTTTATTAATCATTTTGGTAGTAAAATACATGTAAAATGTCATCTCTTAATCACTTTATTAGATATTTCCAGCTGGCCCTTCAGTAAAAGAAAGAAAGACAAACCGAAGTGAGAGCAAAAATTCAATTCACCTTCATATGACATACCGTTAACTGCATTTGTAATGCTGCTCTCCTCACTGCACCGTCTCCATCACCCCGACCCCAGCAGCCAACCACCTTTGGGACCCTTTAAACTGCCCCTGCCTCTGTGCAGCTTCACCTCAGACGGAGATCAGCAGCAGCACGGCGCTCAAGGACATCTCAACTTTGTTGATGTTGCACTGGAAAAGAAATATTCCTGTCCATTCAGCTCAATCTTCCACTTTTAAAGATTAATTCCTTTATTTATACACATTTATATAAGGATAATCTCCTCTTGCATCAAAATGTCTCCTTCCACTTAATTCTACCTTTGATAAATGGCAGATTTCAACGTTTGCTTCTGGAAGCGTGGCTGCATTTCAGCTCATTTAGCACTACATTAATTTTAGATTGCATTATGCCCTTACCTAATGTACTCCTTTGTAGGAAATGCATCTTATTAAAAAAAGTGAAACTCCCTGTTTTGACTTTAGCGAAAGTAACTTTCTGTTTAATGGCTTTTTTTAAATGTCTGAGGCCTGAAAAAGCAAAGGTCATGACCTTCTGATGATCCTCGAGTTACATTTGAGGGAATTTAATCTTTTTATATACAAGCTGTTAAATCACTTATCCTGTCTGGGATTGGACTATGTCAGAGAGAGGAGTTTTATCAGGGTAAAAAGACAGAAAGAAGTTGTTAGTCTGCCCTGTGACAAAACACCTGCCATGAACTCCAACACCCATTATCCCCTCCAACCCACACACACACACATACATGTGCTGAATAATAGAATTCAACCCCTCACCCCATTTTGACTCCAAAAGTCAAAAAGCAAAAGGACAGCTGACTGACACGCAGAGGGGGGATTAGTCACAACGAATCACATGCTTGCACGCACACACACACTTCTCTCTCTCTCTCTTTTGCTCTGTCCGTAAAACACACGCCCTCTTCTTCTGATGCAGATTCAAGATACCGTCTCCTCTGGGATCACCTGCCTCTGCATCAAACCCAGACGCTGTCCCCGCGACGTCCCCTCACACTCAGAATAAGAAGTGTTTAGACGGCTGCATTACTACCCCACACTCACTCACACACACACACACACACACACACACACACACACACACACACACACACACACACACACACACACACACACACACACACATACATACATACATAAGATGTGTCTATCCAGTTAAACCCAACCCAGAGTCTGGCAGTGTGCAGACAGCGTAGAGAAGCCATCTCCTCTAAGGCAACATTAGCCTGGGAGACTGAGCAGAGACGAAAAGACACCCCAGAAAAGAAGAAGACAAAGAGAAGTAGAAGAAGATAAGTGAAAGAGAAGAGGGACATTGAGGGAATAAAGAAAGGATACAGAGATATATAAAGAAATACAGACATAAAAAAGATAGATTACAAACCTGAACATCTGGGATGAACATTTCCTTCTCGCTTTTGTCTCCTTCTCTGGGGCTCATTCATGCCGTTTTGCAAAATGTGTCGACAGCGTAGGGGCTGCTTATCCATCAAAAATGTACAATGCATGCTGCAATTAGCATAAAACACACACATAGACACACTCAAGAGACTCGCTGAATATTTATGGGCAAAGAAGTCCAACAACAGCTCCTGCAGTGTTCGTCTTTTATTTCCTCTGATCACACGTTGTCACAAGTGTTGGTCTGGATGAACACGCAGCTTGTTACATTATTAACACAACGCTTAGTCACATGAACAGATGCAGAGAAGAAACAGATGCTAACATGTGTTTACGTATAGATGATAGTGCATAAGGGGACAGGAAACGACTGAGTTATGGATAACAAAATAGGACTGACTTTGATTTTAAAAAATAGACTTTTATTTTGCTAACGCTGTCTGGAGGAAAGTGACAGAGGTATCTTGCTGTCTTGCAGTTGATCCGGTTCATGTGAAGGTCCTTTTAACAGGCTGGACCTGCTGGGTTCCGTCGTTCTGTGTTGTCTGTCCAAAATGGCTGACACTGCTTCCACTACTCACAGGAGAGATAGACAAAAAGTAAAAGAGAAAAGGACCAAGGGTGTCTAAGTCTCTCTCAGGGTGTTGTGTTCGGTGCCTCTAGTCTGGTTTGGATCTCCACAGGGGGTTTTGGAGGGTTGGTGTCTCGGTGCTGACTCACTCCTCACTTTCTCCACTCCGGTTTGTTCTGTTCTGTTTGTCTGTCTGTCAGTCGGTCGATAATAAGTAATCCCACACCATAAACTCTTCATTGCTCCATCTTTTCTTTTTTTTTTTCCTCCCTCCTTCTCTTTAACCGCCGGTCCTCAACTTGTTCTGCAGAGAAGTAAAAAACACACCAAAAGTGCATTAGAGAAACAAAGTGGCAAATAAAAGAGAATACTACATAGATAAAGAAAAAAGCAGAGGCCTGAGAGAGTGCAATAAAAGAGGGGAGAGGACTGGATGAGTGGGGGGAAAGGACCCGAGGGCAGTGGATTCCATGTTAGTGATAAGTGCAACCACAAATTCCCAGCACTCTCCGTCAATAAGCATTTCAGGCGGCCTACAGCAGCTGATGCCACTGAAGAAAGCTGCCTGAGAGGGGAGGAGAGGAGAGGAGAGGAGGGAGGGAGAGAAAATCACAGAAGAGGGGGGAAAAAAAGGACACAAGTAAAAGGGGTTTGGTGGTCTGAGAGTACAAAAGTGACCGCAAGTGATTTGGAGAGGCTGTTGGTCTTATCTGGATCGATTCATCCGTGTAATGATAAAAGTTATAACTGAGTCAAGCAAGATGATAATCCAGGTTAAAAAACGGGCAAACATTGGATGGATTACTTAAAGGATTATTTCATATTTTTCTAATCCAATGTATATTTTCATAGTCCGTCTGTTTGTAATCAGGATAAACTCAAAACAGAAGATTTTTTCTGGTGTTTAGTTTTTGGGATGCATCCACACAATTTCAAGCTAAAGGAAATTCACCTGTACTGTTTAGGTCCTGAGTTAGAGATCAGCAGCCCTTGTCATTTCACTGTAGATATTTGAGAACCAGAAACTGGAGCCTTACCAAAAAAAACTAGCCAGGACCTGCTGCAAACTATAAATTCTGACTTGATGCAGGAACACTGTGGGGCAGACTTTTGAAGGTTCATGCCCTGAGCTAATGCATTTTGTCTCAGACTGGAGACAGAGTTAGCTTGCAGTCAGTTTCCTTGCTATGGTGTGGTCTGCTTTTGTAGGTCATAAAGAGGCACTGGTATTTATTCAGTCTGTTTTAAAGCTAGGAACTTTCAGTATGTGAGTTTCTAGAGACAAAAGCATGTGATATACACAACATAACAATCATACAAACAAAACCTTGGAAGTCTGGATTTTGTGAACTCACAATTCTAGCTTACATATAACCAGTAAGACATATAAATCATTATTTTGTTTGTCCTAAATTAAAGGTCAGGACACTGTGCAACCTTAAAGACTGATTTTAAGCAGAGCAAGCTGTAGATTTAGGTGATTCTTCTTTGACGGTTTGTCATTATGAGCCCTAACTCTCACCTTGTTATTATCAAAATGCAGATGACTGCTGTTTCAAGATTGAACACAACTTATTTTGTTGTCCTTCACCTGGTTATTTCAAGGGAAAAAATCTCCAGGGCAGGTTTATGGATGTCATAATTAGGACCCGACCGATTTTATCGGCGAGCCGATTAAATCGGCCAATTTTAGCCCATTTGAGACTAATCGGTAATCGGCCAAAACTTGCTGATTTTCCCCGATATTTTCAGAAATAAAATGCGGATATAAGATTCGGTTTCACTTCAAAAATGTTCTGCCATTTGAAAAGTTCATTGACTTATCCTGTAGACGGCGCAGTGACCTCATGACAACCTTCATCCACTAACTGCCTCACAGCACAGCAGAGTGACGGATCTGAAGCAGGCAGCTCAGGGACGCACAGAGGAGAGTGGTCCACCTCAACGGTAAATAAACCAGTTTGTGAAATACACAATAAGTCAACAAGTTTCAGTTCAACCCACTTCACAACGTTCCCCGCTGTGCTGGTCTCGGTCATGCCGAGTTAACGGTGAATCACCATGTAATATGCAAGCTAAAGTTAGAGTTATCCACCTGCTATTAGCCTTGCTACACTGTTAGCCGTGTCAGTAACGGTAGAATAAACAACAGTACACATTATGTGATCAAGCTACTTGTCTTACTGAGGCAGCTGCATGTCTCCAGATGAGACCAGACCGGAAATGAGTAACGTGAGTTAAGACGTGAGGGCACCGAATGGGGGGGTTTGTAGACTGTAGATATGTACAGTGTATATATATTTTTTATAACTTCATAAAAAATTTTAAAAATCGTCAGATTAATCAGCAATCAGACCCCTCCCCCCAACAAAAATCCATATCGGTCGGGGCCTGGTCATAATACTTCAATCATTTGTTTTTGTTTTTATAAATCAGGTAAAAATGTGATAAGAATTTGGTTTTGTGTTGAACACTCGTATTCCTGATCAGAGACAGCCAAAACAGATCTATAAAGTCAATGAAGATAAGTTATACTGCGATGTCAATATTGATGATTTCCACACAGTTCTGTGAGTCACCCCTTCCTTTATTTCCAACCTTTCAAACTTAACACCGGCTGAAACCACAGGGATCCAGCTTGGCCGCTTTGGGTAAAAAAAAAAAAGAGACAGAAGGGTCAGTCTTAAAAAAAATGAAGTGGAGAAGAAAAAGATAGCGAGCGAGAAGCGGTCATGCAGCGAGAATATGGAATGAAGAGGCAGGCAGTGGATGGAGAGATCGGCCTGCGTGATAAACTCCTTTTTCATAGAGGGAGAGGGAGGGGGAAAAAAAGAGACTTTATCTGTCCTTCGACTGCCTCTTCCTCACAGTTTGCTATCTTAAGAGCTGAATGCATTAGAAATGTGACGAGGGGATGAAGGGATAGTGGATGGAGGGAGTGAGGAAGGAATGGTAGCAGGGCACAGAGGGGATAGAAGAGAGCGAAAGTGGGTCTAAATGTTATCACTGGCTGAGGCGATAAGACGCTAATTATCAGCGACAAAGGCCGGCTGTCTTTGCTGAATCCAGTTGAGGGGTCAATATTGTAAAACTGAGATTTGGGAGATTTATATCCGCAGTGAGATGCCATCTTGGATTTCCCAATCTCCCCTGCGTTTCTTTTTTGGTGAAGAAAGATTTGACAGCGAAGGACAAAGAAGGGTATGTGGTCTTTAAAAAAAAAAAAAAAAAACACTTTGAGGGTTTTTCCAGAAAAGGCAAAGAGATGAGAGACACTCTGAGAGGTCAGGTTTAGATCTTCTGACCCTCCAAAAGTCAAAGTCATGTCCTTTAACATTTGCTCTTCCTGCTGGGCTCTGATAAAACTGTGTAAACATCCTAATCACAAAGCTCCATCGGCCCACATCAATCCAAATTCATCTTCCCTTCTTTGTTCTTGTGTGATTCTGCGTAATATTCCTTTAAAGCTTTATCACAGAACTGTTCTTTTTTTCTTTTCTTTTTGCACTTAATGACTTTAAAAAGCAAGTCTCACACAGATAAGCCGCAGACACACAGGAGTGTGTGTTGTGATTGCCGCAGGGTGATAAACACAAGCGGATTACCATATCATCTCAGGCTTGCTTCTAAACAATTTACAACATCATAACAGCATCCGGACTGTGAACGCACCATGCTGCATCTTTACGAGGCCACAGGTATCTCTGTTAAAGGCGCGTGCACACATAATGAATAAAACATCGTGCAATTTACATGATGTATGGCTCCAAAATCTGCCAGCATCTGACTTTCAGATCTTATATGAAACGCCAGACATGAGAATCAGTTTTCTTCATTTCCAGCAAAACAATGCAATTGTAAAGAAATAATCTAATAGAGGAAACTCCATGAATGTAAATTAAGACGTGTATAGGGGCAATGGATGTTGCATACTGCCAAGTGAGAGAGGTAGAATCAAGTTAATATCAACTTGAGTGACATTACTATTACCATACAGCATGTGACCCAGGGCAGAAAAACATTTACACTTGGCAATGAAAGGAAGGCGCCCCGGAGAAAAGGGTGGTATCCAACTAGCAGCGGCTTCTCCTTTGGTCTTATTACATTAAAACACACACACAGAGACAGCCAGGGGAACGCCAGTGTCAGCAGGTATTATGGAAATAGATTGTAAGGTTTAAACTGCCTATTTAGAGTGAGCTTTATGCAGGCGCCAGTGGCACAGTGGAAATTATATTCTCCTGTCTAAAAGCAAAGAGCTGGTGCATGTAAATGGATGCCAGTGTGTATGTGTGTGCATATCTTACTAATTCATTTATACGTTGAAAAGGGAATGGCTGCTCTATATTTGCTACCACACACTTTCTATGAAAGTATGACGTATGCTAAAGCTAACACACACACATGGGGCTACTTTAAAATACACATTAATCCAGCTGAAAGCTGCACTACAAGATTAGGAGTCAGTGCAACTTACAAGTCCTCTGCCCAAGAAGTTGATCGTAAGTACCTTTTGTTCTTATCAGGGAGGGAAAAAAGCATCAATTTGGAGTCTTCTTGTATTTTTCTCACATTTCTTCTCAGTTACACCCAATTAAATCTCATCCATTTCACTTAACAAGCATACTAAACACACAAATACGCAAAAGATGTCACAGACAAGTGTGGCAAATCATATCCAAATGAGATGTAAAGAGTGATAATAAACTTGTAAGTATGCACCTGTTTGGCGTTGTTGACACACTTCAGGTAAAGTGCTGCAATGTTGGAGCAGTTGAGGGTTTTCCCGGCGTTCTCTCTGTAGCACGCCATGATCTGGCCCTGCAGGTCTGAGCACACTGGGAACATCTCATACCGCCTGCAGGGGAGAAAAGAAGGGAGAGACATGGTGTGAAAATGGGGGAAAACAGGGAGTAAAAAAAAAGAAGAAAAACAGGGTAGGATTCAAGTTAAGGGAAAGTGATAAAAGTGTGAAAGAAGAAAGTGAGGCTGAGTGTTAAACGTGTGACTGAGAAGGGAGAGGCAGGGGATTTGAGTGGACAGAAAATGAAGGAATATGTGATACAAAGATGGGAAATACGGTAAGACTAACAAAATAAAATTAAGATAAGGGCAACAACTGACAGATTATCTTTCAGTTAAAAATTCCATAAACAATTCAGCAATTTTGGTTAAGTATACTTTATACAGCAAAAAGTCCCACCCCAATTTCACAGAGCTTAACGTAACATGTACTTTTTCCGAACTTTGAAACCAAATGTAAAAATATTAACTCTAAAAATTCAAAAAAAAAAAAAAAACTTTAGAAAACAAGAAACTACCAATTCTGAAGATGTAATATTATTTTGCCCAGACAATGTTTCTGTTGTTCACAAATAACCTTTTTTCCCCCTAAAAATCCCCACAGATTTAGTTACCTTTAGACACACAATTACAACCTGTTCTTTTCACTGGAACTCATTATCAAAACCCCAAAACAAAAAGGTTGGTATCATCTGCAAAAAGCTCTGGGATTGCAGTTATGGTACTGAAGCAATATCATTTATGTAGATCAGAAATTATAATAGCCCTAATATGGATCCTTGAGGGACACCACATTGGACATAGACTCATTACACTTAATCAATACATACTGTGTTTATTTATGAACAAAAAAAAATTCCCATGGAAACCATATTTAAGCATTTTTGCAAACAAAATCGAGATCAACGGTATCAAATGCCTTGAAAGAAAGCCCTTTCACCCAAAGAGACCATTGTGTTATACTGTAGTTGACTCTGCATGTCCACCCGCAGCTTTCTCATTACCACTGTCCCTCCTGTCCTCCACACCTCAAGCAAGAATCAGATATACTGTATCTGCTGGAAGGAAGGTAAAAGGTCAATCTAGCCTCTGAACTCTGCAGTGATGACCATACTGATGCGTGCATTACAACTTATCGATAGAGGCCGGGGGGCTTTCTGAAAACAGACAATAAGAAGTGTCACACGAAGTGTCCAATACTGGCTCTAAATCCTTGGAAGAGCAATCCATCAGGGCCATGGGACTGCATGGGAGAGGAGCTAACTCTGCAAATCAATGCGAAGCACAACACAAGAACGAAGAACTGGCTTTGGTTGCATTGAGTCAAGCATTTAGACACAACATGATGCTAATTGTGATTATGAAGTAAAATTGATGGTGGTAAATTACTCCAAGTTTCTTAGTTTCACTTGATCAATAAAGTCTAACAAAGTGCAGAGTATTGATCAGTCTATTGGTGCACTACTGAATCCATCCATTGATGCAGCAAGGCTTTCTAGGAGGTGTCAGTCATTGAATTCTGATTAGCTGTCACCTTGGGCTGGCTCTTAACGACAGCTCAAATCTTTATCACTCAATAAGGTATTGTTTCTGTGGGCTGTGAAAGCCACTCACAGCTCGGTCAGAGAATACACAACGCTAGCTCTGCACCTCTAGTCTGTCCTTGAAGCCTACTACAGGTTTAAATCCAGCATGATTGAGATGCTAACACTTTTAACGGCGGATGTTCGGCTAAACTCCAGTGCTTTCAAATGGAACTCTTATGTTAGATGTATGCAAGAGTTAGATACTTTAGACGGTCTATGAAGTGCAATGTACCACCAGCTCTGGGGCCTCACCCAATGTTAACTGCTTTTGTCTGTCTCTTCACACACCCCATAAAAACCAATAATGATGACACATGCACATGCTACGGCTATTATGCTAATGGCGGTGTCATCGTTTTGTTCACACCAGTGCTCAGGACACTCCATCTGCCTCACTAAACGCCATCCATGAGTGCTAGAGAGAGAAAAAAAAGGGTTTCTGCCCGTCAGCAACTCTGCTGATCTCAGAGGAATACTGGAGGGGGGTGAAGCCGAGCCCCTGTAGTCAGAATCAGATGTTTGATTTGCCCCCCGGAGAGAGGAGTTACCCCCCTTTGGAAACAAAGCATGGGGTTGGTGGCGCAGGTCATTAAACAGGGTGATAAGCAGCAGGAAGCTGGTTTGGTGGAGATGGGTACATATGTGCATCCCCACATGGGTGTCTATGTTAAAGGAGGGCCAAAAAATCTATAGTCCTTGTAAGTGCAGGTCAGTGACAATTTGTGACAACTCTGGGGGTGCTTTCCACACCCCCAGCAGTGTGATTCATCAATATACTGAGTCATTCACAGACAATATAGTTATCAGAGCTAAAGAGGGTAGGGGAGAAATACTTCAAAGACTAAAAAGTCAATTTAGACATTTAAAGGATTTACATTTATGGGAAAGCACTTTTTAAGCCCTTCTTTCCCAGACTTTAATGAAAACATCAATAGAATTCGAATGTCTTTGCAGCATTTGCAAAGCTAAGAAGATAGTTAGCTCTAAATGCTTTACACAGTTGCTTTCTTTGGTAGTGTCATCAACTTGAAACATGGACTGTATACAACTTGGACATGGTCTCAGTCAGTGCGTGTACATGCACAGCTTAATCGGACGAAGCTTATGGTTAGTTTTTTTCGCCGAATGAGACTTTTCTCCTTGTCCACATATTATTGACGTGAACGTGTGTCCTCCTCCCCAAAACTACGGGGCGATATGGGTCTTTTCAGCGGCGCTGTTTTCAGTTGACCCAACAACAACAGCAGGTCCGTGCCAGACGTCAGAAGTGGCTACAACTGCTGCAGGGCATTTTTGAGCAAGAAGATGGAGCATCGTACAGGTTGTCGTACATGCTACTTTTTCTGCAGATAAGGTGCATGCTACTTCTCTTCTCTGGTGTTTTTTTCTGGGGTTAGGGAGTGTGGCGCATGAGCACATACATTGTCCTATCATACTCCAACTACGCTGGTTACATGGTAGAGAAAATCAAATTCCATTCACATTATCTGGGTTACTTAATTATCTGGGTACCTGGATAAAAGCTAGGAAGCTGAAAAATGGTAGTCACCATTTTGGACATGAAAATTCCAACAAACTCTTAGCTGAGAGGTGGAGCTGAGGCCGTAGCTTTCCACCTGGTATCAAACATACCACGTGTTTCCTCAGTCAGGCCATGCCATCAAGACACTCTAATACAACAGACTCTTTTTGTGATCCTATTATCCTTTTGGAGCCCTCAAGATGCACGGTCAGGAAAAAAAGAGAGCTTGCAACTTTCCAGGGAAAACCGCACGCCCTTAATTACAATAATAAATCCAAATTTGTTCAATTTATTTAACCAGGAAAGCCTCATTGAGATTATAAATCTTTTCTACAAGAGTGTCCTCCGACAAACACCATTTAAACTTTTGTAACATGCTCTCAGTTTTAGGAGTGGGTAATTATGCATAACTCTTAGCCAATCTATAATGAAAACTGATGAGTTACAGAAGAAAATCACCTGATGTGAAGCTCTCACAAAGAAAGAAAATTTAGTATGAAGATTACATCAGAACCATCTTTACATAACGATGTAAAGATGTTCAAGATTAGGCATTTTAACAAGGATTTTCAATGGGATTCTCTTTGCTTTTGCAGCCAGCCTCACGTGGACACTTGATGACCCAGAGTATTTTTGCACCTCTGTAGCGGCTGAGACCTGTCTCTCCGCAGGGGCTTAAATAAGGATTCATGTCAACATCTGAAAACATACCTTTTACATTTTACTTGACTCCCTGGTAGATTTCACTGCTTTGAAGCTAGACTGCAACATTATGCTACTGGATATGGAGAGGAATCTGCATTTGTGGATCCACTGGGGAGAGATTCAGTCATTTGCTAGCAGGCATGACAAGGCCATTGCTCTGCGTCAGGGTATTGAACGATGACAGCAGCACTAGCAGAAATCGCTGCCATCCTATTCCTATGGATCCTGGTGCTCGTTTATTACCGCCTATGGGCACCCACGGGGATGAGAGGAGCCACATACACCCACTAATTACTTTCTTAAGCATTTGCGTTAATGCCAGGTGCATCCTGCTGATACAAACCACTGTGTTTATCACCAGTAATGGCCTCTGAGAGAGAGAGAAACGAGGACAGAGCAGAGGAGGGGGGGAAGGAGGAGTAGAGGATGAGGAAGGGTTGGATGGATAGAAATGAACAGAGTATTTCTTGATGAGGACTCAGACAGTGGTACTTCTATTTTTGCTCTCTTGCTGTGGTTATAGGGGGAAGGAGACAGTGGCTGAGTTAATCATAGAGACAATAACACTGTCACACACACTCTGTGGAGACACGCTGCATTCTCTATCATCTGTCATTAAGATTAACATTAAGTTCCTGCGGCCGAGCACACGGAGCTGGGAGGGAAAGACTATAAACCTTCCTCTTCCTCCCCATCTGCTCTACATTAGGGTCATCTCATGTCATTTAGAAAAGCCAGACTAGTTCAATGCAGTAAAAATACTAAAACAAAGGACATGTCATATAGAGGATATGGGATGACACATAACCACCCGAGTATAACCCTTTCGGTCTGCATTATATGGCAAAAATATGCATTTTACAATTACATGATTGATTATAGCCTTAACCATATTAAATGCAATAAACAGTCTAGACAGTATATTTGCTTTAGCTCACAGTTTCTACATCTTTCTGCAGTTTGCTCATAATCTAATCAATTCCAGTTTGCAGCATAACCCTCTTGAATCCAAAATCAATTAAAAAACCTGATCTTTCTGCACCACTTAACCTGAGGGAAGCTGATGGCAAGCCTGAGTTTGACTTGACTGCATCAAAACAGCATAAAAGCACGGTTATTGTAACGAGACCTTCATTCAAAACATTCATTTTTTTGCATGCTGAATCATTTTTTTCACATTAAATGATTAATCTTACTCACTGTAAATAAATTAGGCTCTTGTGATGTTTCCTGCCACTGCTCATATTGCAGAAATGATGAAATTGCAGATTGACTGCACCACCAAAACCAAGAGTGTTTACTCAAGGCTTTGCAGTTTTTTTCTGATGTGAAGCCTGTTTTGATCTGTTGGGCGCGGTTGTATCTCTCCAGGGTCAAGTGAGCTGATACGGCATGCTTCATGGGTATAAGATCATGCACCTGAAATGCATTCAGGTGAGATAAGAGACTGCTTGGCAATTGCTAAACATACTGGCTATGCTTCCCACTGAGGCACCAGCCCTCAAGTAAGCACTACTCTAGATCAATGTTTCAGCTATATATGAAGTATTTGGGGTCAATAGTAATAAACTACGAGTTATTTACTGGACTGTGCTTTGAAACCAAGGAGAATTTTGGTCTCTGTGTTTAAAGCTCCTGTGAAGAACTTTCAATTTTGTTGCCCCTGTGGCCAAACTGGTTTTTATCAAACTGTGGAAATGATAAAAACAGGTCTGTTTCTTCAGTTGCTTGACTTCAGGGGATGTTCCAGCGTAAAAACACCCCCTTGAGAGATGATTGTTGACGACCACTTGCTTCTCTAGTTATACCAACTTTATTAACTACCGCACGATAGCAATACACAGCGGTCTGAGGAGCAATAAAGAAACCTCAAACAAAAAGCCACTCTATAGCAACAGAAAATGCTCAGAACAGCACCTAACTTGATCAACAGTTCATATATGGTCCCAGCCATAGCACTAGCAACCAAACATCTTTTCAACTTTGCCTAATTTCTTTAGCAGAGAGACTAAAGACAACTCACCCACTCTCCTCCTGCAACAGTGTGTTTAACCCTAAATTAATTTAATGTTGGAATTTCCCTCTAAACCTACCCACTCACACTGGTTCAGGCATTAAAAATTACAGTAAAATAATCCTTGTTTATTTCTAAATATCATAAAAAGGCACCAGCATGAATTTCAGTCTATTTTATCAAGGTTAAAAAACTTCTCATAGGAGCTTTAAATCACAGTCGCACAAGCAATGACTCCCACCGTCAGGAACAATCCACTCTGTGGGAATGGAATTATGTAATTGTAAATACGGATGAATAGAATAACAAATCATCCAGTTCCCATGTAACCTGAGCAGCTGTATCTTACTCCCGGGCAGAGGTTCTTTTTTAAGCTATCTTTAAATAATTCACAGGAAATAGCAAAGTGGTAAAAGCCAGAGGCATTTTGAACTTTCTTCAACAGGGTGGCCCGAATGTTGATTTGTTGTCCCAGATTGTAATACATTTGCATGGTTTGGTTATAAAAAGGACTCAGGGCTCCTAAACTACACGCTTTTAGCTTAAGTATTTAAAGTACGCCTGGCTGACCTCTTCACAGACGGTTAATATGAGCTCTGAGCAGTTAGCCTCCTCAGATTGTTGACTTTAATGAAGCTGAAGAAGCTCAAGGAAACAAAAACTGACAAAATTAACCAAGAAAAGTCTCAAAAACATGTTGTTGTTGTTGCTGTTTTAAACTCTTCTCCCAATTATTTGATGCACTAAGATTCATCTTGTGACCCCATCTGGCAAAGAAGCCCTGTCGGCGACAATGCTGCTCCCTACTGTTACAGCCATCACAAACACATCACTTGTTTTTTCTTTTTTTTACCGATGCACAAACACACACGTACACACACAAACATCACACACCATTCCTCAAGTTATAGAAGCTGCTATTGCCAATAAACGTGCATTTATTGTCTTCTTTCTCTTTCTCTGTCCCTTTTGTTTACCATCTCCATCCTCCCTTCATTCCCTCCCTTAACCCCCAGAGGTTCATGGGATATTTAATAAAAACTCCATGTGGTTGGAGACACTGACAGAAGCAGAACAGAGACAGATACAGTTGGTTATTATTTGCTCTCAGTGAGGGTGAGTGCTTGTGTGTTGAACCCCAGAGACAGTGAATCTAAACAGTCATATAGGGGTCTCGCCTTGTGCCGTCAGCAGCAGCAAAGGTCTCTATAACACCACCTCATCAACCCCACCCCCTCTAACCTTATTCGCACACACACATGCACCAAGTAGGTCCCTATGGCTTTGATGCACCGATGTGAATGAAAGGAGGAGTGAGGTTGGTTTAGATATCTACATTACAGTTCTGTCTGCTGCGCATCATAAATCACAAAGAGAGGGAGCGGTGTAGGCAAGAAAAAGGACGGATTTAAGGGAGAAAGATGATTTATTAGAGTGACTGAGGCACAGATGGGCTGTGTGTGTCTGAGACAGAAAAAAAAGCACAAAAAAAGAAGAAAAACGACAAAAGAAAAAAAAAGCAATACTTAAATTTTAAGACTTTTCCTCTTACTCTGACTTAACATATAAAGAGAGGAGCTTCAAATGTTGTTTATTGCAGTTCTTTTATCACCAATATCAGTTTTAGTCTTGTTTAACATTGCACTATTTCTGATTTATTGGTTTGTGACTTTTACTACTGTGGCAACACTCAACTTAAGAGCATGTCTTTTAGTAATGACTAAGTAAAGGTCATAAAATACCCATTCAGAAATATTTGCTGTGTAAAAAATGATCATAAAAGACATCTTAAGTAGAGAGAGCAAAAGATAGAAAGATGGCCCACTGCTTTATTAATAGCAGATGAAGATCTAAGGATAAAGAAAAAATGCTAATGGGTGGCTGATATGGTATGGCGGGCTGCCCAGACATCATTTTTGTGTTAAAGTCTTTATCTGCTGTCCCTGTGTCTGAATGTCTCTATCCTCATGATGCACCAGCGCACTGGTTTAATATCAGTATGAGCGGATATTGACACCACTGGACATCAGTAACTGCTGTGCCATGAACCAATGTCAGTAGCTTATGTGTAGGATCAATTTAATGCTTCCATGCTGGAAAACTCAACTCTGTATTCTGAGTGGGGTTTTTCAATTGGGCTGAAGAAGTCACATATTAGGCGGGCGCTGATGTGACAGAGGAGGGCAACAGGTGCTGTGGGCACATCTGTTGTTAGTTTTCAAGGTCAACCAGCAAAGAAAATGTCGGCAGCATGGAAGTGTTATACCGTGTCTGAAAAAGTTTGTGAGACCAGCTCCAGCAATAAATTTACAAGCAATAAATCATAGCTTATATCAAAAACAGACAAAAAGAATCAAGAAGAGCTGGCTTGTTATTGGCTAATTTGTTGTTTCAAATATTTGTAACGGTATTGGTTAGGGTTTTGCCCGATTCATTTATCCTTACTGTATTCAGTTGCACACATAAAAGACATGATAAATCAAGTATTGAGAGTAGGTTTGATTTTGACATGGGTGGGGACACAAAATTGTCCTCCTCAAAGTTTATGCACGCACACAAACCGACACAAACACAAAGGTAAATGTAAATGACACCGCTGATATTAAAATCCGTTGAAGCTGATGTGACCCAGGCACAATATGCCAACATGTTGACAACTTACACTTCGCGATTGCAGAAAACATGCACTGTCTGCCTCTCTTCTGGTCCAACTAGCAGGTAACTGTTACAGGCATATGTAGTGACAGCGGGGACAGCCAATCACATGTATGTAAGTGAGAAACCGGCAGACAATCGAAGAGCGATATTTAGGTTAGAGGCGGGACTTCTAGCAGAGACCGACTATTAACCCTTTGTGTGCCATAATCATTGATTAAACACTACAGACAGCGGTTGTATTGATAGGGACCACAATGAAGCAGCTGATTATTGATAGGGACGTGTCCCTAGTGTCCCTGCCTAGTTCTACGCCCTTGATTTTTCATCCAACGATTGAGTACCTCAATTTCAGCTGTCGCACTTTATTCCAATCTTGTGAAATTTAAACAATTTGTCCTTTTTTGTTCTTTTCATGTGTTAATTTGAAGCATTTGGGCTGCATTTTTGTCCTAAAGCAGCTAAATTAATACCCATGTGTTGAACTGAACTGAGAAGGAGAAGGTTCTCTATGGAAGAAAGCAGTCTATATGGAGCAGAGGAGGATCCTCTACAAACCCTCCTGAAGTCTTTGCTCACTTCCTTTGTAAAGTTTTCCTTCAGGAGAGAGCAAAAAAGGAGGTTGAGAGGAGGGGCAGACACAATATGAGAGGGCGAACGTGTCCCATTTAACATGTAATAAAGCAGAACAGATTACCTCCCTCTCACTGTCTGTCTCCCTCCTCAAGGTGTCCCTATATCATTTAATACAATCCCCCTTTTTTTCAAGCCTCCCTGCTGCTCAAGTCAGCACATTTCCACAGAGGGGACGTATTCCCACAGGTTCATGGTTACCACTACATTCTTCAGAGGGTGTATTGACTGGGAGCTGTATTGAGATCGATGTTGGGATTTTCATACAATATGCATGTGTTATGCCAATAGACAGGGTCAGGATCAGAGTATGTTCATTTTTCAAAGCAGCATATATTGACTACGACCACCATCTGCAGTAACGATATAGAGCTTTGTGCACAGAAATGACATTCATAGATCTCCGTTAGGGATACAACATGCTTCAATAGTTGAACAAAGTGCGAGACACATCTGGAAACGTGTACGCTCATTCGTCTTAATTTGATAAAAATAACAGGGAACAAAGACGCGCAGATGCATGCATGTAGCAGAACATTGTCCAATAATGTAGGAAGAAATGTTTCAAGCACAAACTTGGGAAATTGTTGAAAAAGTTTCAATCCATGTGAGCGTATCAACGACTTAATCAGCTAACATATCGATTTGAAACACTAAGATTTGGCTGCTTATTATTTACCAAACTCCGATGTTTAGCTAACATAAGTATCCTATTTTCGCCTGTTAGAGGGGTTTATCATTTTACATTTCTTGACTTTTCGTTATATTTGATGGTGACCTGCATGTCAAAGTTTTTCAGAAGTAACTCTATCCATCAAGAAGCCATTTGGTGAGCATTCCTGTAACCTTACTAATGGACTTATCATTCTATTATGTTTTAAAAGCACTTGACCGAGAAAAGGAAGAAGCCAATAAAGACCCGATCTAGTCAGATTTCACACACACTGCCGTAATTTATCTCCCTGAATCTCAAAACTCACTTTGTTACCCACACAAACACATAGCAGCAACATGCACATACACATGACTGCAGCATCTGAAGTATGGATTACCCTCCCTTGCCACCAGATTGAGTTCCCAATCACCACGTTGTCTATTTATCATCATTTGGGTCCACTTAAGGGTTAATAGGGTTAAGGGGTGGGTGCCGGTTCCCCCTCAAAAAGCCCTCACGTTCTCTCTAGTTAAGGCAGGCGTCAGTACCGAGGGGGGTAAATAAATACAAATGATCCAGTTAAGGAGAAAAATGACACACATTTCACTCACGCTGCTTTTTAAAAGCGGACCTGAGTGACCCCCTGCAGTGAGATCCATCAGCATGGAGAGGAGATTCAATGAGGGGGACAGAGATAGGAAGGGACTGAAGGGGAGACAATATCAAGGAAAGTGGGAGGGATAAAAGACGGCATAAAAATACAAAGGGTGAGGGTGTAAGTGAGTGAGAGGAGAGTAGACAACAAAAAGACGGAATAAGTACCATTTAAATTAAGACGGAAAACAGTCATTGTAGTGAGCGGCGGGAGGAGAAACGATGGATGAGTGTGTATGAAGGGAAAAGAAGGAGAGTCTGTCCTGTGTTAACCTCGTTTTACACATTTAACATGAGGACTTAAACAATGCACCCTTTCAAAATACACGGCTGATTCAGGGATCTTTACAATAAGTATTTAAATTGTAAGAGAATCTCAAACTTGAGCTTGATTCAAAGAGTTATCTAAGTATTAAGGAGAGTTGCTCCATGAGGGCAAAACTCATAATCTCGATTATTTTGATAAATATGGAAAAAATATATAAATATGATTTGACATCTGCATCATATTTAAGGAAATTGAAACCTCTTTACAAGGTTGGTGATTACAACAGGCCATGAAGACATTCAGGCTTTTGTCAGGCCATCATCAATGCTGTCTGCCATGACATGGATTTTGTAAGTCTGTCATTGCCAGTTTTAACATGCATATTTCTTCACACACACACTATAAATTTAGTTGTAAAATGATGGAAGTTGACCTCCCAATCCAGCCATGTTGGGGAGGTCAAAAAAGTAGAGTGATGGAGGGATTTGTGGCTGACAAACTAGACTGCATCCCAGTCAGGACGGAGCTGCTTGTTGCTGCTTCATTATTCTGTTTGCTGTCATCTGTTTATCTTTAATGTTAGCCATTTCCATAGTGCCGTCTCTACCAGGCCTATCTTGTTAGATATTTTGTAAGTCAAACAAAAGTCAGTGGCAGTTCTGTCTGATTGTTTAATATGCAGTATCTATTTTCTGCATATCAGATGTTGCAACATGTTGCTTCTTTTCACCATCATTCATTCCCCTTCGGTATCCACCATATGAGAAAAAGAGCCCAATAATACAGAGAAGCAATGACAGCTATGAGTGGGTTTCCTGTCCACTAAAAGGTGGATATGCGCAGTTAGTGTGTTTGTGTGTATGCCCACGCAGGTCCCCAGAAATGTGTGCCTTTTTACAGCCAGCACAGAGAAGCTCTTAAGGCCCAGAGAAGAGCTTTTAAAGCAGTTATTGACTTCTGTCTCCTCTGCAGACCACCATCTTGTCCCTGCACCCTGGTTGCCTAGCTACAGAACTGTGGTTCACCCTTACCTGACAGCTGGGTCAAAGCATTGCTCAGTCTCACTTATGACTACTTCACATAAAAACACCTAACAGGACTTTAAGTTTGAGACAACTTTCCTGCTAGATTAATTCCTGTCATTTTATAGTAATTAAAAGTGCGGCGTGGCTCCATTAAACATCAACAAATCCTTACTTCATTAATTTTGGGACACTGGTATCATATCCGTAGACAAACAGACGCTCTGCCAAGAAAATGGAGAGCCTCTGACTGCCTTTACAGCTTATTTGCATTTTGTAGCAGCAGGTGGATTTTGCTGGAAACCTGCTGGATTTTCACCAGCTTATTTATCCTCTTCGGTAATGTCAAAGATAAAACAAATGCACAACGCAATCGTCCTGCAATGCTTTGTTGCAAGGCTGTGTGATGGATTGCATTCAGTTGCACTGGATTTCTTGATTTTGAGTCCGTAGTATAATGACAAGAATTACTGCTTCGTGAAGGAGTGATGGTCACGGACTTACGTGACCCTGTTGGGGATAAAATTAACAGTTAGTGTTAATGAAATAATTTTGGTCCTGGGTTTAGTCGCTCTGATGTGCACAGGTGGATTTTTGTACGTTTGAAAGCTTGAGAAGCAGCAACTTAATAATGAAGGAGTTTACCAGCAGCACTGTGGCAGAAAGAACAGAAAATGTAGAGTGGGGTTTGTTCTGAGTCATTGATTGCGGGATGTTTATGGTTTAACGGGATTTAAAGAAGGATGTGTGGGCTTTATTTTCTCCTACATGATTGAAAGAAGACAGACCGTCTGCTGTGCTCTCTTGCCCAAAACGGTACAGCGCACTGGTGTTACGAAGAAAAACAACGAGCCATTTACATTCAGCAAATTTTGCTTCACGCCTCCTCATTCCACCTTAGCTTGTGTGTGCGCAGCATGCGATGAAGCAAGGACTGCGGCTGCTGTCATTGCCAACTGGATTATATTAAAATGAGAAAAAAAATCTGATTTATTCAAAACCACAAAAAAAATAAAATAAATAAATAAATAAACACCAGACAAAGGGATCGAGCGTGCAGCCGCAGGGAGGAGCAGGGTGACAGCAAAAGTGACGGACTAAAATGAGATTTTATTCCCAGCTATGGCTGACTGTAAAGGGAATAAACCGGAAACATAAAGAGTGTGAAATGTTTTGCCATTTTTGATCTCACCATAACTCGCACCATTAAGTTGAAACGCTTCAAGAAATACAAGCTTCTGAGACCTGAGAAGGAGAGTGAGACATAAGAGATGATGGTCTCGATCCTTAGGTCTTACACAGCTATGTCAGACTGAGCTGCCCGCTGCTATAAGACATCCCAGTCTTGTCTTAATTCTGCAGGGACCCTGGACAAACAGTGACAGTGACCGGCTTCAACAAAAGAAGCCCCAAAGCTGCACCAAAGGTTAGCTCTGACAGGAGGCTTAGGACCAAGCCTGGTTCTTTCAATCCCCGTTCCATCTTTTCGCATAATCTCACATCTATCATTTTCCTCCACGCCTGTCAACCTGAAACCTAAGCCCTGATGGGTCAGTGCGGGCCGGTCAAGTCGCGGACGTACGCCCACGCACACATGCATTAATGTGAGCACACTTGTCTTCATATGGAGGCACACTCTGGCATGTGCGCTCTTACATACATGTGGTTCGGTAAAGGTCACACGTTCAGGGTTGGACAGTGAGATAATGCATCAGACGTGGATAAACAACTAGTGGTGAATGTGGCAGGATATAAATCAGGTGCAGGGGGAGATAGGCGTTTCACAGGAAAGTGGGGACTCTTATCTACAGTCAGTGTCACAGGGAAAGTGAATAAAAGCTTTGGTCCTAACATACTGTCTTTATACATTATCTTTTACATGTAACATTGGATTTATGGTTACTGGATGGATTTGGTGAAGATCTCTGAGGGAAAGGGTTGTGTTTCACAGCAATAATTGTAGATACTAGTGGGTATTTTTTACAGTTTTGTTCATATGAATTTTGTTTTTTGTAACACTAAGTTTTAAAAGCATGACAAGAAGGTGACGGGGAGCCACAAAAACTCCACTCTGCACCTGAATTAGTCGAACTTTGTGAAAAAGTACAGCTCTGAGAAAGTGCAAACAAATCCTATGTGTGCACACCTCTTCAAAAGTGTGTGCTTTTGTGTGTTTTTGCGTGTTGTGGATGTAATGAGGTCACAGTGATGCAGGAGCGTTCCGGTTGGGAGAGCTCCATCATTCTCCAGCGGGAATGCTGCAAGAGAGCAGCAGGGAACAGCTGTACCGCACAAACACACAAACAACAGCACAAACACGCACACGCACACTCCTCCCTCCCCTGAGTACCTACCTTTCACACTTTAATTTATTTCTTTCAACCTGGCAGAAGGAATTGATCAAACTGTACGGCTGAAATAAATGGAACACACTGGTGTGCAAAGAGGCTACTTGCTAAAAACCTGTTTGTTGAACTTATTGTAAATTAAATTGGTACTTTTGGTAAATCTTACAGCAACTTCAGCTCATTACTTTTTTCACTCAGACACCCCAAAATTTCTTAACATGGTTCCACATTTTAATAATATCTGTCTTCATTTGCAGAGATGGCAGTAAAAAGCGAGATTCATTTGTACAGGCTGTGTGTAGTTAAACTGGTATATAACCATCGCATTAAAGCAATACATGGCATGTCTAATCTGCTAGACCAGGGTTACCCCTACATGCAATTGATCGTGGCGCATCACCACAGCTAATAAAAGCCACCGCACCTTAAAAATAAGGTTTTTTATGTGGCTCTACCTCAGACCCAGTATGTATTAGTATATTTGCCGCAGATGGGCGCTATGTGCCGAGTATTAGCATTAGTGAGTAATTGTCGGCGATCACACAGCTGATTATTTAGCCGCAACCAAAAATGTTAATAGACCGCTGTGTGTAGCTATCGAGCGGTTGTTACTAAAGTTGGTATAACTAGAGAAGCAAGCATTCGGCAACATTCATCCCTCGAAGGGGTGTCTAACTTGGCGTTACGGTGTGTAATTAATCAAAATTATTGCACAGTTCTTCTTTTACACCAGTTGGCTAATCTGGATTAAAATTTCTGTTTAACTAACTGGGAAATTAGTCACTTTCATCTAAACCTAGTTTTGGTATCCATTTAAAGAATATTTTAGTCTGAATGTTATTGATTATTACAGATCAGCAATCCAAAATTGGATTGAATCTTAACCACTACACTGTTATTCTAGATGTTGATTCCAAGTAAATCACAAGGAACTTAGTTTTATTCTCAGGATCCTAACGTTGAATTACAACAGAGTAAAGTCTCTGACTAACACATTATTTACCGTAAAACTTAAGTCTCCTCAGAAACAGATGACTGGACGCTTTTGCCAGGAATATGTCCAAACAAGGAACCATTAAATTGCATTTAATTTGCATACTTATATGGAGAGGCTTTACAAAAGGAAATCTTAGTTTTAGTTGTTTATGTCAACGCATGAGCATCGCTTGAACACCCCTGAAAAGTTAAGGCTTATACAGTATACTAAAACTAATAGCAGATGCGTTCCAGGATCATGTCTCCTTTCCAATCAGACAAATTTTTCATTGAGCATTGGATCAGAAAATCTGCATCACGAGAAGTGCTGCATTCATGCAGCTACTGCACACAGTCTCCTCCCATTAATTTCGAACCTAGATGGAAATGTCACAAAGTAATAACAGATTTAACCCATGGAAACCAACCAATACTCATAATTTAATATTCCCAAAACACACACCCAAATGTCTTAACCTTTGACAGACAGCCTGCTCTGCTCACACACATCTTCTTCTCCACTATAATAAACCGTAGCCTAATATCTGCCCAATAACACTAATCAATCCCTGGAGGACTATCACTCCCTTCACAGTGGCAGTGGCAGAGCTAGAGTGGAAAAATGAAGCCGTTTTAATAAGAAAGATGTCATCTCCCAGACTTTATAACATCCTCACATTAACATATCAAATGTTAATTCTATCAAGTATGGATAAAACCCTGTTTTTTTTCCTTTTTAATCTCGGGGGAACATTTTCAGCTTTGAAGAAATCAAAAGCCTGCGTGAGACAAGAAAATATTTCCTTTTATTATTCAACAGAGGCCATCGATAACATCTTATCTCTGTAGGGTCTCTGCCTTAAGAGAAAGAGAGAGAGAGAAAGAGAGAAAGTGAGACAGTGAGTGAGAGAGGGACAGAGAGAGAGAGAGAGAGAGAGAGAGAGAGAGAGAGAGAGAGGGAGACTCACATTATGTACACAAAAGATGTTTGACATCTAAGTGTATACAAACATACACCATCACACATGAATTCACACATAAATAAGGATGGGCAAATCACGCCCTGCTAAATCCAATTAACCTGCTGCTCTGATCCCCTCAATGCCTCCCTGCTCCTGTCTTGTAACACCAGACCTTCCCGCCGTTTCATTAGCGCACACACACGCACTCACCAGATCCCTCCTCTACTTTTCCACGATTGTAGCTCAGCCCCAACGCTGCTAATGCACCTCTTATAATCCAATCACCAGTCTCCATGCAAAGGCCTGCATCACATGACTGCCCGCATGTTAGCTTGACGCTCACTTGCAGTTAGCGCTGTCATTTAGCGCTAATGTTATTCCACTGTATTTTTTTTCCCTCCTTTAATGTGATTTGGGAAGTCTCAGCTCCGGCTTCCACGAGTCTAGCGCTTAACCCCCGGTGGGCTCGGCTAATCAGTTTCCAGCATTTCTGAGGGAGACAATGATCCCGGTGTTAGCGCTGGCTAATGACAGGCTAACACAATTAGCCTAGCCTCCCTGGAGGAGAGCTCAGAACTGGAGCCCCATTCTTGCCCCACCTCCTGCTGGCTCCTCATCCACTTTCCCTGCATTACTATAGAGCCTAATGGCCTCTTATTAAGAAGACAGATGGAACAGGGATGGGGGGGCGATTCTGCACCTTCTTGAGTTACATATATGTGTTGGATATGTGACTGCTTGGGTGCTTTACGGTAACCTTTTTACTCGCTCTAAGGTGTGGCAGTCACATTTAAAGGAAAGCATAACACTGTCAACTTGAGGACCATCCATTTGTTGTTTTTTAAAGCAATGTGGATAAAATAATGCTAAAATGATCTGATGTCTTGGAGCAAAGGATTGTGGGTAAGTAATTTGAAATATATCTGTGAGCAAAAGGATCACAACTGGAAATTGAAGAGGCTACCTATTGACATGAAGGCGTAACTCTAACTTTTAATGCAGTTTTCAGACTTTTTGCCTTGAAAATGAAAAAGTTAGTCAGACACCTTGGGCTGAAACAAGGGTGGAATCATAAAATGCAGGTTTTTCATGGTTTTTCAAAGAAATATTCCAACATTATTTCTATTTCTTATTCTTTTCATGATTAAACTTTTGATTATTTAAGAGCAGTTGAATATTTTAAGTTTCCAAGAGGTTTAATTTAATCTACACTGACTTTTCGTCTGTCTGTGTTTCTTTTTTGTGATGACCTGGCACACGCAGAAAGAAAAATAATATCAGAAAGAAACTGACCAGAGAGAGCCAGACAGAGGGATGGCGATCAATTTTAAACTGAAAGCAACAATTAATGCAGAAGTGAGGAGCTGCAGTCCAGAAAGATGGTAAACAGAGGAAGAAACAGGCACTGCAGTAGTACTGTTTGTACATAAATTCATAAAACTTCATTAAATAAAGTTTTTTTACTGTTATCTAGCTGTTCTAGAAAAGGTCTGTGAGTCTGCAATGTGATAAATTTTAAGACTTAACTTCTACATGTTTTAATTCATGAAACTTTGGAGCTCAATATCACCAAACTGCTCTTAATACCGATAAATCCTTGTACTTCCAAGGGGATGTAATGCTATCCAGCTGCTACAAATCATGTGTAATCCTGTTTCACAAAAGTCTGGCCCAAGAAATATCTCTATCTCACAAATGGGACCCCTCTGACACTGAAAAATTAAAAGGCAACGAGAAAACCCTGTCATCTACGATCAACATATAATGAGGCTTATCAGTGAACCACATCATCAACATCGGATAATGGGACGGGCTAATGTGGGTCTGATTGAAAGACACAGGGTGGGATGAGGCATGCTTAACTCAATTGTAGTTTTATTGTCCCAAATGGGCTTAATGAAGGCATGCTTTTAGACTATCTACTTGTGGTCTTCTGAGATCATACCATTATTACTGACTAGGCATAAGCGAAATGGCTGTAAATCAAAATGTAAAAAAAAATAAATCAAGAAAGTAGAGATGATTTCTGACAGTAAGGATAGGTTACAAAACTCTTATGTACTTTTTATCTCCTTCTGAATCTATGTTTTAAAACTTACTTGAACTTTGCATTCACTTGGTCGGCAGCTTTGTGGTAGTTCTCCGTGGTGACCTTGTAGAACTGAGCACTCTGCAGAGAGACGGAGAGAGATCTAGTAAGTGATAGAAATGCACTGAAATGGGATTGAGATCTCTTATCCATCCAATTTATTCACATCTTCTTGCTTTTAGGTTTAAGCCTTTTAGGCATCGGGGAACATTTCAGCAAAGTGACACCTCTTAGCAGTTCAGATATGATACAGTCCTACACAGGGACTCTGTTAGGACTTAATGGAGACGGGAATGAGCAGGAAGGCTTTTGAGGTTATTGTCCACAGTATGACAGCTAACCTTATTATCCGTAATGTATATTCTTTTTAAATATGTTTGCAGGTATGCAGGATGAAAAGTAAAAGCTTTATTCTACATTGTTTCATGTGTGCTTTGTGCTTTTTTTCTCCTTGCAAACTACTACCGCAATAACAGGCAGCCATTCTGTTAGGTCAGAAGGCCGCTGGACAACAACATACACACCACTGGTCATAATCCCCAAGTGACCCATAGCAAATGAACCCATGGCAAGAGCCCCTCGACCTGAATTACCCCCTCAAACACAGCCGTATAAACCAGGTCCTTCACTATTTATACTACTGGAGTGAGATCTGTTTTGTCAGCCCTCAGCGGCTGTTCTGCACATTTATGATCAAATGGTGAGAGGCTGTAAAGTGTGACAGACGGCTTGATTGATGTTTGATCCAGGGGAAGGATTGTGTAATGTCTCTTAATGCTAAAATTCCTCCTTTAAAAGGCTCTAATTCAATAACAGCAGTACATGGAGTCACATTTTCAGGGTATCACTTGATACGAACACACCTCCTCCAATCGATCATAAACAGCTTGTAGCAATGTTTATCAAGTGTTATAAGCAGTGAGCATTAAGCTTTATAGAAGGTGTGGTTTATAATGCATTATAACTTAATTCAAATAAAAAAAAATAGAAATTATAAAATTATTGTTTTTTTAATTTTTTTTAAAAAGAAGCCTCTCTTACACCTTACAGCCACCAAATGCTGCTTAGAAGTTCTTATTGAGTTATAGGAACATATTTTAGTTAATAACCTCATATAGTATTAATAAGATATTTTCCGAATTGAGAATCAAAGAAATTATAGCTTCTTTATATTGTGAAAGTTACAATATGTTGAACCCATTTAACCCAAAATTAAAAGATGCTATGATTTTTTTAAAATACCGATATTGTAGCCTTTAGTATTGTCAGATACCGATATTGATCCGATATTAGCATAAACTTGTGCATGATGAGTTTTGCACTCAGCTGCCATGTCTTTTTCGGATTTTAACGGAAAATACTGCCACAGGGCCGACATCACTCCTACTCCTTGGTATTTAGTTAGTATCTTAATACACACTGTTGTTGTGAACACATGGGCTCTACATGTTGGATCCGGGTGTCACAGCGGAGTCTGGAATGGATTGCTTGTATCGGAGAGCTGATAATGGAGATTTTAGATGCAGGCCGGTATAATCAAATATTTGATTTTTTGTTGATATCAAACCTGAATCCGATATCAATATTGTACCGGAACATCCCTATTAAAGATCATACCTTTTTAAGGCATTATGCTCATGACGTATCTCCATAAACATTGCAATAACCTCTACTAAATGCTAATGATCATTTATAAGCATTGTTTAGCAGATCATGTATTTATAAGGCTTTATAAATGTGCTTTTGATGCATTTTAGGTGGTTGGTTTATATATAAGTGTTACCAGAAGTTTTTCAAACATGCCACACAGATGTCAGACTTGTGACATTATTTATCCAGTTGATGTTGAGCTACATAACGTAATACATTTAAGTTGTTTTTGGAGAAACTTTATTTCTGACTTTTCAGGGGAGGGTTTGGACAAAAGCCAAAAAGAAAAAGTATTAGACATTACATTTTTAGAGATTCAAAACATTGATATTCATCTTGTAAGATTTGAAAAATGTAAGCCTCCTTGTCCCATCTGCCCTAACTCAACCTCCTAGCAGGAGAGACATTTATCATAGTTCAGAGGAGATCAATAGAAATGAACTGTGCTGCTGAAAAGATCAATAGTCATGTGTTGGAGAGCTAAAAGAAGATGGAACATGACAAAGCTGACAAAAAGTCTGATACCAGATTGAGTCTTGTTCATTTAGACGGAGCCATGACAGAATTTTTCAACGCCAGAGTCCTTCCCTTTTTCACACTTAAAAGTCAGATATCGTTTGAAACATCATTAATTTTGTGATGTTGTAATGTAGACTGCTCTCCCTAAAAACACAAAATGGGGTTTGGTGTTCTCTGCAGTAAATGCACAATATGTATTAAATGAAACAAACAAAATATTCTCACATGTCAACATTAATGCCTCTTGCTTGACAAATTTAACAGAGACGTTTTTCCCTTTATTTTTCAGATGTCTTAAATATGTCATGTCTGATTGATTGGGGATGATTTATGGTTTTGTAGGTCCCCTGTGTAACCCTTATGACATGCTCTAGAAATTGTCCACAATTCAAACAAATGTTTAAAGCACATAGTCTCCTAAAAACAACATTTTTATTTGTTTAAATCATCTCCAATGCATTATTATCATGTTGTTAAAACAAGAAAATATACAGAGGTGTAGATATTTTACCAACTTACTGCAGCTGCCCCTCAGGCTAACTTTGGTTTGTATGTAAAACACCATAAAGAAGTATGCCCAAAGTTTAGGAGTTAACTTGTAAGCTCATGCTGAATCTGTGCCCTCTTGGCCTTGAATCAAGTGCTTTTCTGTGTAGACAAAGAAACTGTCAAGAGCTGAGGAAAAAGGATTTAACAGAGAAGCTTATTCACAGATAAAAAGACTAAAAAGAGATTTGGGTGCTGCTAAAGAGGCAAGAATAAGACTTCTCCTGGGCGCTGCGATTGAGCCATTGGACAAGAAAGAGAGTCAAAAGGAGCTGGAATTGTGGTCTGACTAGAATACCAAGTATAAGGTAATAATACCTGACTAAATGGCAGAGCTGGCACTAATCAGCGCTCTAATCCAGCTGGGAGGACAAAAAGGCCATGTGTGACAATGATTGCAGGACCACTTACAATACACACACACACACACACACATACACACGCAAACAACGTCTGTTAGACACACAGCATGGGCACATGTGTGCGGACATGCTGCCAAGTGTGTCTACACATACTCTGCTGGCTGGATATAAACACTGTCACACAAAAAAAGCACTCAGTCTCCACCAGGCGGACAGGAGTGTAATTTGTGTGATTACTGAGTGGTCTCAAATTGTGATTTCCAGCTGTTGCCCCAGCGTATTTAAGGAGAAGCCCTGTCTCTTTTAGCGTGGAGAAAAAACAGATAAGTCTCGCCAAAGAAATAGCCACGTTTAGATCTTGTCAAAAAGCTTTTATTTGATTACTGTTGAGCTATTCTTCCCAACGGATGAACAACATTTTAGCAACAATAACCTGGTGCTGTGTTTACCCCATGTTCAATCAAGTGTTTACCTCCAAAACACTCTCTGTTTATTTCCTCGTCTTTCCTTCTATTTGCTTTCCTCCAGGTTTTTAGCTCATCTGGAGCCAAACAGAACGCCGGTGGGGGGTGTCATAGACAAATTAAGTCATTACTGCTAATGCATCGCAGCGATATGGAGAAGATAGACGCAGCCCTGCAACACTGGCTGCAAGCTCAATTTAGAAGAAAAAGCCTCCGATTTTTAATGAATAAAACAAATAACTCCTTGTACTGATGGTTCTTTCTCTTATCTACTGCTGAGCAGGAGGGCCCGGGATGGGGAGGAACCCCACCATGGCAGACATTAAGGTTCTGCAGAACTAGAGAAATGAAACCTCTGCTGTATGACTCAGAACAACTTCTAAAAAAGGAAAGAGGCTTTTTGACTGCTGCTACTTTGACTATGAACTATTTAAACGTACAAAAAAAGACTTATTTATGCCAAGTTTAAAGATTACCACTGGTTACTGTGTGCCAGAAAGAACCCAAGACTGTTTGTAGAGGTAGAACTTGTGTGAAAAGTCATTGCATATAGTAAACACAGTGTTACTGTAGATGATATCTGGGCTGGTTGCCTCAAGATAATGCTGACAAATTTGATATTTTCCTTTTTTTACAGGTATAAAATCCCTATCTGGGATCAATGATTCAGATGAGCTCTCAGCCATCTCTGCTCCACACATCTGATAACCTGCAGGGCGTGACACATGCTCTGCATTTGATCATATTATAGACTGTGGGTAGACCTGTCAATCAAGTCAGCTGCCCTAACAATGCAAAACTTGTAACTTTAATAGGTTTAAAATGACTGAGCTTTTATCATATCCCCCACCCCTTCATAGTTTGTGTGGATAGATGTGGGAATATATGTGTTTCCTGCCTCTTCCTATCTAATAATAGCTCAAAAATAACTTTGGGAAAAATACAAAGAGCATGGTTTGTGGACGACAATAGTTAGCACTTGAATATTGTAATTTTGGAGAAGACGGTGCTAGCATGGTTGATAATTTAGCGATGTATTAGCTGCTCTTTTCATACCTTACATATTTGATTAAATCCATGATTATAATAATAATAACATTATTTATATGGCACTTTTCAAAACAGAGTTACAAAGTGCTTCACAACATAAAAACAGAATAGAAATAGAGGTAGGACAAACAGCAGCAGACATCAATACAATTTCCAAAACAGTCAGTTAACAGGATTGATGTAAAATTTAATAAAAGATGAAACTCAAACCAAGTTTAACAATATAAAGCAAATTTAAACACACGAACGGCTGGCTTTATACTTCTGTCCAGTGTGCAGACATTGATAAGCTCTTGATAAGACAGCATTCAGGGTGGAACTATTTCACAAAATGTTAAACTTTTCAGAACTTTATCAAGTTTTAGCTCTTCAAATACTTTTTCTGGTGGACCAGTGTTATTTTTACACAATAAATCTTTATATTTGCCAGGTGAAATGTGTCACTTTCATACAGGAGAACCCTAACCTTTAAACATACTATAGATATGATTCTACAGCTCCTATCAATTTGGTTTCAAAACTAATTTTCACTTGGATTAAGATTATTTTGTCTTCTTTTCGTGGACTCTAAGCCCCATTACATCCTGCTGAAGAAATTTTTACCTATACAAACATGTCGCTCTGTTGAGAAATCACAATTCCTCTGTATAGAATTTCCATGTAAGCTCTCTGAATCCAGTCTCAGACACAGTAATTCAACACTGCTGCACAGTGTCGTGCCTTCATCCTGGATTATCTTGTCTTCAGTTATATCACAAGCCGAGTCAGAGAGACTACAGAGATCTCCATTTGTTGAAATAGTAATTCAAAAACATCTTCACTGCTACGAAAAACAGCAGGCAGACAAGCAACAAACAAGTTTATTCCCTTTTTTATACCCACCACAAGCAGACTGTACTTAAAACTTACGCTCATGTCTCCAAAAAGAGACTCAGGGGGGAAAGTATGAAAGGGAGACTGGTGAAGAAATGACAGACAGAAGACGAGATGAAGATAGCAAGCCATAGGCAGAGACAGAGATAGAGAGATAGAAGCTATTACTGTTTTTTTAATGCTTTTCCCCTCTGTATTTCTTCCTTTCACTGTGCTGTGGAACTTTGCTATGAGATGGCAATTGCTGCAGTGATTGTCCTCCATGGGAGAGCAGAAAAATCCAATTTCATCGATATACAGGGCGAAAAGAAAGATAGATAAAAGAGGAGAAGACAAATCTCTTCTTAAAAAAACGAAATTGAGGCATAGGGGGGAAAAACACCACCCAAAAAAAAAAAAGAAAAAAAGAAAAGGTGTGATATAGAGAGACAGATGTGGCAGCGTGGGAGGGCTCTGGTTGAAAAAAAAGGAAGAAAAAAAAAACACGGGCAGGTTGATTGTTAAATATGAGATTGTTTTACAGCCGGGCAGGTATTGAGTGAAAATGTAATAAATATATAGATATTGTTTTCAGGGGCTATTTGGTAGCTGTGGCCACAATGAGCGGCGGCAGGAGCGGCAGCAGGCTGAGCTGCCTGGGAGCCTGGTGATGGCCTGTCACTGGAAGCCTCTCTGATGAATGGCTATGTTGGATTGAAACAGACGTGTAATATATATCAGACTTATATTCCCTCTCCCTCTCTCTCTTTCTCTCTGCTTCTTCCTGCTTGTGTGGAAGATGGTGGGAGTCCTGAGGTTAGAGAGGAAAAGATGGGTGGAGTGTAACGAGCGTGATTGGAGGTAACATTAAGGTAGCGGTGTACTGTATGAAAAAATGGATTTAAAGCAGTCTTTATAGAGACAAGAGGGTTAAGAACCACAAAAGGATCAGTTACGGAAACTGCTAACCTACTCGCCAACTAAAAACATACATCATTGCTGTTCAACTATATCGAATGATTGATTTTAAACATAGTTTTTCCTGCATTGAGAAATAAATCTGGTGTGAAGCTGCTAAAAACTGCAGTTCATCCACTGAAAAGCTTCAAAATATTGTGTCAGAAATGGGCAGATTATTTCATTGGGACTAGATCCATGTTTTATATAGTCACAACATCTCTGTTAGTTTCGACGGAGTATTAATGCCACATTAAGAAAAAATAGATTTAGACTTTGAGATTAAAGTCTTAATTTACTAAAGTCGTAATAAAGTAATTACTTAGGAGAATATAGTCATAATAAAATCATTATGATACTTATGATAATGTGGTGCTGATGTGCCAAAACATTAAGTATCTCCTTGTTTGAGAAACCTTTATTGAAGTACATTTTCATGAAATGCTCCATGGCTCTTATTACAACAACTGTCATCTTAAACAGCAAGTTAGAATAGAAGGACTTTATTCTGACTATACTCTCGTAAGTGATTACTTTACTATGACTTCATTCTCGTAAGTAATGATTTTATTCCAACTTCATTCTTGTATGTAATTACTTTACTACAACTTTATTCTTGTTAGTAATTACTTAAATCTTATTAGTTAATGCATTTAATCTCAAAGTCTTAATTTTTTTTTCTTAATGTGGCCCTAATACGCTATCGTAGTTGGTTGACCCCAAACTCAGACAAACTATAAGATATCGGGCTAATGAGCGTATGATGAGGGAATCTTTCCTGCAGTAATTGAGAGTGGCTCAATACTGCAGTATGTGGTTTTATTGTATAAGTCTGTTTTTCTAAAAAGGAAAAAAAAAAAAAAAAGTTAATTACTGGCATCACTTTTTATTAACAATTAATGTGGACATTTGTGGTGAAATGAAAAAAACTCTGTAATTCTGTTTCAATTTTCTCAAACACTATCATTTTTGTGTGTTAGTCACAAAGGACTTGGCTCTAAAACCAGCTTCCGAGAGCTGTGCAGGAGCAGAAACAGTCAGTTATTGCAGGGCTAAATGATTTTAATCATTCAAAAGAACCTGGATTGCACTAGCAGCATTTACGCTGTGTTAGTTTACCTAAGAAGGACAAGAGATCCAAACCCTGTCTTCACAGATTGAAAAAAACTGAGTGAGATTATGCAGCCTTTGTAGATTTAATCCGTGGATCTTTAGCAGACTTGGATTGCAGGGACCAACTTGAGGAAAGAGTTATCCAGTTAAGTCTCAATTTTTTGCCATCCAATATTTAATAACCCTTTGCTTGAAACAGCAAAAAACTGCACGCAGTAAATGGTAAAATGTGAGCAGATCTTGGATATTAAAAGTAGTAGATGCTATTAATAGAGTGGGGATGACACGGGAGCAGCATATGTACAAATAAAGAGCGATTTTGTTTGCTGGGCTTACGTTAGCAGAAGGAGAGCAGAGAGAATGATCTGGAAGCCTAACAGAGCTCTGCGACCAGAAGAAGAAAAAGCAGCGTGATTAACACAGTCCAAACAAACGGCACCCCCTATGGAGTCCCAAGCCGCCTGCCGCTCAGTTAGACAGCATGCAATATGCCCACCACTGCTCCGCAGTTACACAGAGGATCACAGACCATCACATGAAGATTCAAATGATTTGCTGTTTTGTCTCTGTGAGCCATGAGTCCTGATGAAACTTGTCAACATAAATGATGGTGACTTTGTGCACATGTTGGAGACAAACGGCCAAGCTAAACTAATTAATTCATCCTTTTATATGTGTAAAAATCAATTAAGATCAGCATTCACTTTTACAGATCCTTCTTTTATTCTATTATTTAATACCCTTTCAGCTTTTTCCTACACATGCTCAGTTATTTTTTATCGCACGCTGACATTTGATCTTTCTCTCCAGTCTTTTTCTTCTGCTTTCATCGTTTTTCTTCTTCCTATCCTTTATCACTCACTTAGAAATGTCAAGTTATCATAACTTTTCAAATACCCACTCAGGAAAAATATCTTTGATTCCAATTTGTCTTAAACAGTCCTGTCTTTCCCTCCATCTACTGAACGTCCAGTTTCTATTTTTTCCGCTTTACCTTCTGTCTTCAATAGAGTATCTTTTTCCTTGTTGTCCGTCCATCCCTCCTCTCTCTCCCTCTCTCCCCCTCTCAATCTGCTGTCTCTCTCTGAGGTGTGAAGGTGATTTGTTGACACTTTGATCTAAGGAATATTGACCAGAGGCCAACCTGGCTGATGGATGGCCAGCGCCTGAAGTCGATAATGCCTGTGTTAGTTGGGAGTCATCACTTCTACTATCAGCACTCACACTGGCTGTACAGTGAGACTGTCTAAGATGTAATAATACAAGACGAGACGTGGATCTGGGAGATGCTCGGCGATAAGACTTAATTTGTTTGATCCAAGTGCCACACTTTGATTTAATATCTTCTGTTTTTTTGTAAAGCTTTGTCAATTTCTGGTTTAAAAAATAGGGACTTAATTTCGTTTCTTATGATCAATGTTGGCCAATGACGTTGTCTTGACTACTCAACCCAAACTGTACAGATGGATGCACTTTCAATTACTGGCAGATGTCCACTACTGCTTGATACAAACTGGCTTGGCTTAGTCCCAGTAAAGGAAAAAAAAACATGCAAGTTTATATGACTTATTGGACTGTAAGGATTGTCTCTTTGTGCAACAAGAACCAAAACGTGCACAAGATGAAATACTCAACAAGCACGCCATTGGGACAGTGGATGAGGAAGGGCATATTTTTAAAGGCACTGTAAGGAGTTTTTTTTACTGGTGGAGAAACAGATAGAAAATTATACTGATGCCTCTTTATGACCTTCAAAAGCAAACAAGACCATAAGTAACAAGGTTGAGAATTCCACCATAGTAATACAAATATTTTTTGTATTACAAGTTTTGTCAAACGTTATATCTGAATATGTAAATGAGGCCATATCTGATTAAATATGCGCTAATTTGCATACATTTCCAGAACCGTAAACTGAACAATGAATAAAGCCCCTTTCAAAATCCTTGTTTTATTTTGTTGACATACTAGAGTCAGACAGGGGGGAGGAGGGGTATTTCTTCTTATCACTCTGTAAATGAGAAAATACTGTAACAACCCCTAAAAATTCAAATGTTGCCAAATGTTTTTTTGTCCAAGTCCTTAAAACGACCATCACTCCTTTGTGTTTATTCTAGACCAGGAATACTGGCACATGTTTTGACCATGTAATATTCTAATTAGCATATTTGTAAGATAAATAAGTGATTACAAGTACAACGATTACCCCGCAGGAAGTGTTGTATGGCAACATTTGAATTTGTTGTGGTGGTTACAGTATTTTCTCATTTACAAAGTGATAAAAAGAGATATCCAAAGTCCCCTCCTCCCCCTCTTCTGACTCTAGTATGTCAACAAAATAAAACAAGAATTTTGAAAGGAGCTTTATCTATTGTTCAATTCTCGGTTCTGGAAATGTATGCAAATTAGTGCATATTTAATTAGATATTGCCTCATTTACATATTCCGACATAACATTTGTAAAATCTTGTAATATAAAAAATATTTGTCCTACTGTAGGTTATAAACTTGGGAAGTTTCATGGAGATAACTGTTAGTAAAAAATGTTACCCTATTTACCTGGAATGTATCCCGTGGGTGTCCAACCTATCATGGACGCCATCTTGAAAAAGACACTTTTCTAAAGGTCAAACTTTGGTAAACTTTTAGTATGTCACTAAGGCCATCTATTACCATAAAAAACAGTGGAGAAACCTTTTGTTAGAGCATTTTTAGGTTTAGGTTTTTTTTTTTTCATATATGCACCCGCCTATTAGGTCTTAAAGGACTTCAAATAAATAAAGAGCTCCATTTTGCTTCCACTTAAAATGGCTTTTGTCCTACTATGACAGTATTATTTAAAGACATTTAATACGCCACTGTGTCCTTCCTAGGTAGGATACACATTTGATTTAAGAACAGCGTGATCGAGTCCTTTTTGAACGCACTGTAATGGAGCATTTGACCCTCTTAGCCGCCTTGCAAGCATCCCTCACTGGGACCAGCGTGGAGCTGCCAATTTAAGCAGGCTAAGCATGGCAGCTGACCCTTGTCACCCTCCATAGGACACAGGGCTTGACAAGGAACATCAGGGTAGTGTCATTTTCAGGGGCATGAGGACACACGCAGGGATGAAGGAGATATAACCTTTTATCCTTAAGGTAGAGGAATTACAGAGAAAAAAATAGATATCCAAAATAGTGAAAGAGCGGCAGGGAGACAATTACAGAGAGGCTGAAAACAAGAGCGGGAGAGAGAGAGTGGGGAATATCACACTGTGGAAAGCATGCAGAGTTCAAGTTGAAGGACGATAACAGAAACAGTGGGGCAGAGAGATGAAGAGAGAGAAGAAATGTGGCTGTACTTTGGCTGAGCCCAGTGGCTCAATTGTGCGCTTGTTTGAGCTCAAACTGTTAAATGTGTTTCTTTGTGCACTGCTGTTAGTGCATTATACATTAACAGAGGTATGTTATGAAAACTTTACCCCAGGCAGAAACTAGAGCTGCAGTCTGTGATGTATGCTCTTGAAAATAACAATGATGTAACCGCCTAGTGACTTTATAATGCAGCAGTTAGTCTTTACTTTGACTTCTTCTTTGTAGAATGGATCATTTCTTTCCTCCACCCACTGGGATGTTTCTCGTTAGTTGGGTGTTTGTTTGGTGCAGTTTTATCCTCTCTTTTGTATATAAGACATTTGTAGTTATACGAAAAGCAAACTTCTTGTTTTCTCTTGAGTGCTCAGTCACCACAAAAACAAAAAGATGAATCATATATCAGCTAGTTCTCTCTGTTGCGAAGTGAGAGTCTGGTCTTGTGTTGTGAATTAGGTCACACACATGTAACCTCGCGTTGTCCATAAATAAGCATATTCCAGAGTAGTATATGATGCAAACTGTGTCTTACCCTCTCCTCCAGCCGGGCCACCTGCTCTCTGTAGAAAGCATCCTGCTTCTTCAGGTCTGCTTCTCTGGCTTCCAGCTGCTTGGCCTAAACATAGACAAATAGCACAAAGATGAAACACATTGTACCACAACAAAGACACACTTTGACTCATAGAAAATGAACATTCCCACACTAAAAACAAATCTGGTGGAGCTACATTCTACCTGTCAGGAAACTTGCACATTTTGCTTTTCTGCCTTCTAGAAATTACAGCTTTGTGTTAACGTGTGTGAGACGGATGATGGTCTGGCATCTATTCTATGTGCTCTTTTGTCCTCTTGTGTTCAATCTTCAGCCAAACCACTATCAGCCTGAGAGGATAACATCAGTTCTCAAAGCGGAGGAGCACCATGGTCTGGCGTATATATTTACCTGCCCGACCAATCTGCACTGTCCTCCCTTCTGCTGTGACCTTCACTAAATGTACGGCTGACTCTCTGGGTGATATACAGAACAGATAAGGCCTGGATGTATCTGTTGCAGGAGCAGAAAAAGCAGACCTTTACACCTGGCTGGAGGGCTGGTGACTCAAAATAATAATAGAAAGAAAATGTTGTTAAAAAGATATAAGCTGAACTGTAGATTCAGACAAAACTACAAAAACTACACTTCTGTTAATGAACAGAGCAGGACTTCTATCGAGTAAACCTCATACTTAATGTGGAAAAGTTGCACTGTCAGCATTAATGCACTAATACAGATGTAATTAAGGTCAAAAATTGATAAGTCAAAATTTTTAAACTAATTAATAGAAAAGAGGAATTTTCTAAAACTCTTAAAATCAATCAAAAGTAGGAGTGGGAGGAAATATCGATACAGCATAGTATCGCGAAATTTTGCCTAGTGAAACATCGTGTTGTCTCATTTACCAAGTACTGATTTTTCAAAATAATTGTTAATAAGAAGTCAAATCTATGATAATGGGAAAATAAAATCAACAATTTGTCCAGTGAGGTTGGCAGAGGTGACATCATAGAGCAGGAGTAAGTTAGTGCAACAAATATATAACAGATTTGCAAGATGTGCTGCATTAAAATAAAATACAGCGTAAATAAGACAAATGCTAAATTAGTTAAACAGTTGAAAAAACTGCATGAATCACAATATAGAGTATCGCAATGTTCACTGTTTTGCAAAATGCTAAAAAATCGCAATAATATTGTATCGTGGCCCAAGTATTATGATCGTGGGGCCACTAGTGATACCCAACCCTATTCAAAAGAGTATAACTGTTCCTGAAATACCCAGAATTCAGTCAAAAGACTGTTTTATTGCTGCTCTCGCCTGAGAAGGTCATTAGAAAAATCAAATCTATAATCAAGAACAGAGGAGAACTTTTGAAAAAGAAAAGACAGAGCCTAAGAAAGCTTCGACTCTAACAGGCAGACATGTCTAGAAGATGCGAAAGACCTCAAAGCTTACCTTACGTCCCATCTCCTGAATAACGACAGCATTGAGAGGAAACAAAAGAGACAAAGAGAGAGTGTAAAGAGGCACTGACTCATCCATGAATTTCTTTTAAGTGACATTCAGAAAAGGTTTAGTATGCAGAGGCCTGGAGTGAGGATCCCACACTGTTCTGCTCGAATTCTCACACTTCATCCTCTAAATCTCCCCTCTCCCTGGCATATAGAGACAATGTATGTATGCTATATGACCATTTTTGTATGCGGTTACACACGCTTAAAACTCGAACCCCGTACCGTAGAGACCTGTCTTATGGAAAGCAGCTGAGCAGAGGAGCCTCAAAGCCTTTTTGCTTTGAGCGCTGTAGGATGAAAACACATCGTATGGAGAAGAAAAATTGCATTACCCCATCCAATCTCTACAACACCGATAACCATCTGTGTTTGGCTACTCAGTGCGCTGCAGGAGGAGCGGCGCTGCTCTATGCATTGTGATGAGGAGCGGCGACGAGTGTCACCGATGGGGGCTGTCCTCCTCGCAGGAGATGAGTAGGAGAAGTTTCAAAGTCAAGGGGGTGCTAGAAGCTTTAAACACCTGCACATGCACACACACACACACACTTAACGTTACCTCAGATCCAGATATAGAGAAAAATAACTCCAGAGCACCACTTTATCACACTCAAGAAGAACAACCAGGAACAAGTAGCCCCTTTCTCCCCTTCACTCAGTGCAACCTTAAATTAGCAAGCGTTGCCAGTGCATTGGATAGTTGTCTCTATTGTGTCTTCTTACAAACGAGGAGAGCTTTTGTGTTGCTAAGGTTGCACAAAAGCTTTTGTCACCTGGACACCCTTAGTAGTGTCCTACAAGCACTGAAAGGAAACGACCCAAAAGGGATATACCCTTATCAATGCTTCTACGAGGGATTGGTGAAGTGACTGCAGGACAGGATTTTGTTGGTCAGGGTGCCAAAAAGCTGTCGCCCACCAACAGCTCAATTTAAGACAAAGAAGAAAAGAAGGGGGTGATGGGATGGAGGGAAACGAGAAGAAGGGGATCGGCAGGTGGATGTGTGCTGCGTCCAAACTCCATGATAGGCTGAAAGGGTTTGCAAAGACAGACAAAAAGATTGAAAGAGACGCAAACAAGGGCTCAGACGCTGATCTGAAACGCACACATCAGCACATGTACACGCACCAGCCGGAGCAGCTGTACCCACACGACAGGGTGGGGAGATAAATGCGTGCTGAAGGCGAGACTAGAGGGGTCATTAACAGAGGAGAGGTGGTGACAGAAATGTGTACCCAGGGATTTTTCTTGTTTTGCTCACTTTTGTGTCTGATATGTGGCTTTTTTTGTAATGCATGTGTCCAATTTCCATGCAAACGGGTTGGCCCTGCTCACACACACACACACACACACGCAACTACACGCTATGTCAGGATTACTTCCGACCGATTAACCTCATTCAGGAGACTTTGGAGATAATCTAATCATACTAAAGGCCAAACAATGGGACAGACTTCACCACTGCCCATACACCTTTTGTTCGCCTAATGAAGAGGCGGTCGTGGTTGAAGGAGGAGGAGGTAGAAAGAGAGTTGTGGTGAAAGTAGAGTGGAGGGGGGAGGAAGAGGAAGAGAAGGGCCGAATTTGACAAGGAGGAGGAAAAGAACTTGAGAGTGAAATGAACAAAGAGATAAGACACAAAGAGGAAGAGGACAATGGAGGGCGATTTATCATTGGAGGTGTCAGAATGGGGAGGAGGCTGTTGGATGGGACATGAAGCCCGAGCCAAGAGCGTCTCAGTAACTTTAGAGAGAAGTTTAAGGGAAAAGAGATTATCGCCATGTACAGATAGGACGAGAGAAGTCAAGCAGAGGACGCGAGGGGGGGGATGGAAACCTGAAGCTCTGAAGCTCTGTGAAACTCAGAGCAGCTACTGGTTTGAGGTTCAGAGGTAGAAAAGTTTTCAAATTGATAGGATTATTTCCATCAAATTGAATAAATCAGTTGAAAAAGTTTGGATATTTTTGAGTTTGGTTTGGAGTCTACTGTATTACTGCATGTCCAATGCTTTGTTATTTGTGGTCATGTATTTGTTTTGGTCAAATAAGGTCTAAGAGTGACGTTTAAGTAAAGAGAGAAGGGATGTTTGCACTTATGTTGTGTTCACACCAAATGTACATAAAATCATTTTTGTCGCGAAATCTTGAATCAATCTTATTATCTCATTTTATTGGGTGTAGCAACTGACGTAAATGAAATGATGAATGGTAAATGGCTTATGTTTACATACAAGCACTTCTACATCATATCCCACATTCACCAATTCATACTCACATCACATTCCCACACTGAAGGCAGAGGTTAACATGTATAGAGCCAACCAGTTTTTTGAGTAATCCCATTAAGGTGCAGCCAGTGAGGTCAAGTGTCTTGCCCAAGGCATGCTGGACCTAGAATTGAACCCCAGACCTTTCGATTGAGAGACGAGCGACTCTACCACTGAGACACAGCCGCCCACTCTGGATTGAGCGGATTATACGAATAATACAACTCAATCGAGCCTAGACTACACACGAAAGATGTAAATCCGTAAAATGTTTGTAACACATTCAACACTTGCTTCATTGGCTTCATCCCAAGAATGTAAAATCTGAACGTAAGTAAAGCATTCCTGCCACTAAAAGGTGATATAAACAAAGGAGGGGAGAGAGTCATTTGCCGAAATTAAATGAGTAAACACCCAATATTCAGCCGTTCAAACAGGCCGGAACTAAAAACGTTTATTATCTTATTCATATTTGGTGTAAGCACGAGGAATTTTTAATCTTGATGGCTATCCGACCTTGTTTTTTTGACAAAGCTATTGGCTGACATCATGATGTCTAGACCCATTTCCAGCACTCATCCAGATTTTGTCCCCTTTTAAAAGTTTGTATAAGTGTGATCTAATCACATATAAAACTTAGAAATAAGGAAACCAGATGGACTGACCAAGAACGACAAAAAAGGGATTTAATGGAATCAGTCCAGATGATGTAATTCACTAAATTTAATTTAGCCCAACCACGTCAAATTTTCATGTGCAGCCAACCCCAACATAAAAAACAATAATACAAAACTAAAAACAAAAACGTCTTAACAAAACTCTCCCACTGGGCTCAGATTGAGTCCACATGGTGCTATTTGCTACCCAGGAAACCATCTTCACAACAATACTAAACTTTTACATCCCCCTGCATCTGCATCCAGCTCCCCCTCCAGCCTCATATTTAGTACAGTAACACAATGGCTGAGGGTGACAGGCGGCCGGGAGTGAGACCGTGGTGGTCAGATTAAACGGATCGTTTAAGCGGGGTGAACGCCTCTGTGAATATCAATTAGCAAACCGCTGAATAATTAAGAACAGCCATGTTTTTTAATTAGCCGAATGCCGCAGTTAGTGCTGGGAGTCAGGGCGGAGAAGGAGAAGAGGAGGGATGGAAACAGGTGGATTTTGCTGCGTCAGGTCCTCCACCCACCTCCTGTTTCTCACCGATTAGCTCCCATACTGTAGACTCTGTTTCCTTTCACACCTGCTTCTTTGTTGGAAATGTTTCTCGCTTTGCTTTTTTCTGTTTAAGAATGTAAAGGTCCAAAGTAAAAATAACTTCTGCCTGCAGTATTCAGGAGCCTTGAGGCAGAGAATAAACATGCCTTTAATGTATGTGGCTGAGAATAGCTCTCCTTGTTGCACACAATCATGTAATGCTTACATAGCAGACTGTACTGCCAAGAAGACTATTGGAGCGTGTAGAAATGGGAGTATGTGGTGATACTTAGCAGTCAGATTCTCCACTGAAATGTTCTTCAGCTCATCTTCTCATTGAGACTGTGCCCTTTGAGATTAAAAAGTTCTTACGATTGTATGGACCTCCATTAAAATGTGGAAATCTATTTATACAAATTCTTTTGCACACAACAACCCTAACCACTCTCTTAGTTCTTGTCCCTGACTCAGCCACTCAGAGCATGTTTAAACATACTTACAGTCTATTCTGACTGCAGACAACATCACTTTTCATCTTGTCTCATTTTCTCTGAATGAAACAAATTTTTCCCATCCTGAGAAGCACCAAATCAAATCTAAAACAGTCTAGCCACTAAAACTAGCCACTGTTTGAAATACAATTTGTTATGATAGTTAGAATAATGCAGTTTATTGTTGCCCAAATGGTATATCAGCTCTGAAAGGACTTCCTTTAGTATTTGCATTTTAACCCCTATTTACCTTTACATTTTTTTTTCTTTCTTAGTAATTTCATGTTGCTGGACAGTAATCCAAAAGTCCCTTGCCATAACTTTGCTAAGGCTAAGATCAATCAATCAGTCAGTTTTTTATATTGTTGAATTTTTCCAATTTCATATCCACAACATGAATCACCCATCTGCCGACCTGCTCTTTCATTATCAATATCAGCTGCTAAAAGAATGATAACAGTCAACCAGTAATCTTGGGCTACTTGAAATGTTTAAAAAACACTTTTTTTGGTCCTTGCTAAATGCAAACACATGCCTCTTTTGCTTGTGTCCCCATCATGTCTTTAAAGGACTCAATACTACAAATTTAACACATCTGCGAATGGTGGCAGTTAAAGTTAAGTAGTATTTTCTTCCTTAAACTTTTAATGCGAAAAATTCCCCAGAGCCCTAAAAGGTCTAAAAAACAACCTCTACTACGGTCATATAATCCCACAAAGCTAGAAGGTCTGTAAAAACTGAATAGAAATTAAAGATACCTTTTTTTTCCTAGTCCCATTTAATTAAGACCTTCATGTGCTTCAACCTCTGAGAGTTCCCGACCTCATGATAGACAACCACTGACTTCAATATGTGGAATGTCTTTTAATAGACTTCAATTGATGATAGCTTTACAATGGTTTCCAACACCACGAATAAAGATCTACACAACAATATCACTAAAATGAGATTTTTTGTTGCCTCTGATTGTGACCATTAGTAATTCAGTACATGTTACATTTCTCATTTCACACTTCAATGATGGAGACCTCTGTGTTATAACAATGAGGTGACTCATTGTTACACTGTTTGCCCGCTACATGCTTATAAATCATGCTAGATGAAAACAATCTTGCGTGATGCTGTGATCGATAGAGCACAAATCAAATCTCATCACATTAACTAACAGCGCCTCATCCATAACCTTGGTGTCTTTTGTCTCCCCCTATCACCATCAGCTCAAACCTGATTCAACCCCCCCTGTCACAAGTCGCATCATAATCAATGCTCCATCACACCATCCAAGTGAAATCTGCAGCACGGTGGGTCAGAGCCGCGCACCAGGACCCATCTATCACAGACCTGTGCGACAGAGCCTTGTGACAAGCTAATACCGAAACTGAGGGCCTCGGTTGTTCTGTTCTCCAACAGGCACGGAGGGGGTCAAAGGGCAGCACAATGTGACCGTGCTGGGGTGTTAATTGGCACGGCAAAGGTGTAGGTGGCATGTGGGAGGTTAGAGATGGATGGAGGTAAGGTAGGGAAAGTTCATGGGAGAGAGGAGGGGGAGAGGTGGGTCAATGTTTGAATGGAATATGGATGAAAAAATAGTCAGGGGGAGAAGTGGGTTTTTGACAGCTGTAAGGGAGACATATCAAGCACAAAAAAACACCCAGAAAAAATGACATACAAAGCTCAAACACACACACACTCACTCTACAAATATTGGCCCACCTTGTAACTGCCACTAAAAACTATACTGCAACTCAATCTTTAAAAGCTATCACTGGCAGATCAAATCTAACTGATGGTGTGTAAAGTGATATTACCTAATACCGGCCCTACTGGCAGTATTACACATTACCCTCAGAGTCACTAATAAAACATAAGTCCTGGTAGCAGTAGCTGTAAAACTCCATTGGATTCCATTCACTTTGGCTGCTTAATTAGCATCATGGGGTTTTTACTGAGCGGCAATAACACTTGAGGTTCAAGGCTGGCTATTAGTCTCCATGGGAGGTGGAGGGTTATGAGCAAGGAAGTCGTATCAGAAATAGTGTGGTCAAATATAATGGGCTTAACCTTGACTGATCAAAACGGAGGACAACCACTTACTGACACACATGCTGGTAGCTGAGTAAAAAACAGTATGTATGACATAACATTGTGCTTCGGGTTAGGGTTCAGCATCAAGTGGATTATACTAAAATAGCTGCAATTACCATAAAACTGCAGTATGTAGTTTTTGCACAATTCCAGCACCATTTCTTGAATTAAAAGACATGCTTTTGTACGAACTGAAACTTAAATGTCTGGTGAGGATGTTTTTGACATTTATGAATTAGACTGGAATTCATATTAATGCCTTAACATAATAATTAAAAGTTTTAACAAGACCACCAGGAGCACCAAAAGCCTGAAGACTGCTTTGTCCACAGGGAGCACCAAAATAGACAAAAATCAAAGTTTCCCTCAGGGGCTTTAAGTTTGCCAAGAACAAGCCTCTTCATACTTTAATGCTAATTACTTTGGTTCATTCCCAAGTTTTCCTATCTAAATTTTCAGTTCACTGGACTAGATTACTGTGATAATGTTGGGACTAAATTGCATCCCAAAACAGTTAAGGACCATCAGACTGCACATTTTTTGCAGTGTTGAAGATTATGCACATCTTATAGAAGGTCAGATATGTTGCCTTTTATATAACAGGGAAAAAAAAGTACAGGATCTGCGCCAGAGGTGCTGGCTGACTTTGAATCAGTTGCATGACTCTTACAATACAAAGCCAAAAGAATATACACCTCAAAGTGAGGCTGCCATGTCATTACATAATAATGCAGCATCCTGGGAACCTCTTCAGATGGATTTATGTCAGTAGAGCTGGGGTTAGTCATAATAAAGTCAAAGAAGCAGGTATACCATTAATCACAGAGAACAAGCTGGCTGTGGAGCTCTGATTGAAGCTATTAGCCTCTGACCGCTACCCCGTACTGATGAGCCCATTTCTTTCCATACATACATCATTTTATCCTCTTCCCTTTAGGTGGGACCTTTTAAAATGAGTTACTTGCAAGACAATGTTATTCTTGTGTTTGTTGCATACATGGAAAAGATCTCCTATTATAGCTGGTGTACAATCCTGTGTCCATGAGCACACATATCATTGCCATTGCCAAAGATGGACTTCTCAAAACATGACTACTTTGATTTGATTGTTAATTTGACTGAAGCATGGATCAGCCTGGTAGAAAGAGATGACAAAGCCTCAGGCTGAGACAGACTTACTTCCCCTCAGGGATCTCTTAGCTCAGTGAGTAATGATGCGACGACCTGGTGGGTCAAAGGGCTGACCTGCTCAGGACAGGGACCAAGAGGCCAAGAGGTGTAGGTGGAGAGTGTGGGTGTCTCAATGTTTGGTGCGTGTATCTTAACTACTAGCTGTTTAAGGCCACATTAGAATGAAGTGTCCTAGCGGGGTCTGTAGCTCATTGACTGTGAACAGAGGTCAGCGTAGGGCTTGATCTGAACCAGATGGCCTTAATGATGCTGAGACAGCAGTGTCAACGCACTCACAGGTTTACATCTCCTTTGGATTTCAACCAAAGTGATAAGGTTTTGAAAAAATGGATAAAATATGTAAGTTATAGAAGTATATGGTAAGCACACACTTTACAAATAGGCAAGAATTTGGTGGTTGGCATCTTGAAAATAGAGCAAGGAGCTCAGAGTGCACTGAAGTTAAAAAACAAAACAATGAAGGAAACTGGGGATACTCAAGATTCTTCCATTTGTCTTGTTCATGAAGATTTCGTTGGGATGTTCTCTGGAAAATACGGGAAAGCCAAATGAGAAAAGATCCTCCCATGAGTCAAACAGAATGAGTGCTTCCACAAAGGTTGATGTCTTGGTGGATCCATGAAAAATCACTCCTCTTTCTTCTCTGAGACACTTCAAGCCCCTCAGCCTTTGTTGGAGACACCTCCTCCACAGCTCCACTGCCAGCTCCATCGCTGAGGGACAGCAACAACATCTGCTGGCTCAGGGATTGATTAATTGGCTGATCAGGCGCCCGCGGTGTAAACTGATTGATTGATCATCTTGCGGTGGGAGCTGCCTTTATCTAGAGCCGGGGGGAGCGAAGCTCAGGAGGTCCCCAGTCATCTGTCATGTCCAACACACGGGGAAAGACGACGGAGCAATGAAGAGCTGTGGGTTCATTACCGAGACATGGGGGGCATGTATGGAGGAAGTCTCGGCATAGATGGGAATAGAGGCATGTGGAGAAAACAATGGGAACATAGGGACAAAGGGGCTGAGGATAAGAGGAAAGGAGAAGATCCAATGGTGCTCGAGGAGGGAGAAAGATTGAGGACAATGACTGAGACAAGAGGAGAAACAAATAAGTCAAGGACATCAAACAACTTGGAGACCCTCTTGTCTGTCATAAAAACAAGGACTCTAATAATTACAGAAGCCTATTGAACTGGACAGTAATGGCAGTGGCAATCAGGGATATCCTGATCTTGATCTCAGCTTTCCTACTCGAGCCGATCAGGGCATTTAAGTGATCAGGGCTCAGCAATTTGAGCTGATCATCTCAACCGGATCGTTTACATCAAACTGAATACTAGAAATACAAGAGAATACAATAAAGTAAAAGGGCAAAAGGAAGCTGTGGAAGGGGATAAATGTCCTAAAGAGTGTGAAGGCCAGAAATGTCATAGAGAAGGTGGTTGAATTCCTCATTTTGGACAGACAACCAGTTTGTCCTGCCGTCTTGACACAACATTTCAGACACTTGATGTCTAGAAGAGCTCTACAACCCCATACAAGCTGATTTAAAACACAGCATGACTGCTGTTGGCTCTACAACAGAGATTCAGAGCTCTGCAAAGCTGTGAACTGCTCTACTGAGCATTTATTCCTGCATACTGTGCTCACTGTCTTTGTCCTTTTACCTTTCCTAAGAGTCACGTTAGCTTGGGTAGCTGATCAGGTAGTGTTTGTCGCTCATGGAGGGATGTGGTATATGTTTCAAAGCTTTCCACGTCTGAAATCAAGTCACATGGACAAAAAAATGGAGGGCAGAAAACTTAATGGGATAATGGGATGCAAAGAAGTGAAACAGGCGGGAAAAAGCTCATGTACATTTAGTCAGGACACATACATTAATGGTGAAAAAATGCTGCACTTGACTGCAGAGGACACAGTGAATGACCTTAAAGTGGGAAGAGGCATATTGTCTTTGGACAACAGATGTCCTTAGGGAGCGAAGTGAATGAGGGGAGAAGAGAGGTAGAGCAACCTATGGAGGAAGGTAAAAGGAAGGTAGAAGGGAAGACAATAGGGGAAGACATGCGGGGAGAAAAAGGGACAGCCTGAGGATGAGTTGCTGACCTTGGACCTTATGTACAAGTCAAGCTGCATGTGCCTAACTCATTGTGTCTGCAGGACGTAAATCCTTCCCTGGATCTATGTTTTCAAGACCTTTTTTTGTGTTAGAGTAAATCTGTGTGAGATAACAGCTTTGGGTATACAGTATGTCTGTCCATGCATGTATGCTCATGCTGTGTATAAATGAATATTCATCCCACCAAACAGCAGGTGGTCTTCCAAAGCCCAGTGAAGCTTAGAGGGGGGGCCCAGTCCGGATTCAGCTCTTGTCCATCAAGAACATGTCAGTAGACTCGGGGTCACCTCTAATACACCAACCTCTTTGGCCAGAAACACGCCTTTTCTTCTCTCTCTGATGCCTCACTTATTCACAGTTGGCTGTCCTGAGGACTTACTTTGAACACCAGGCAACAAAAAGATCAAATCATTTGCTTCTTTTCATCTCAGGTTCTCTTCTTTTGTTTAAAGCTTACATCCTTTCAGGTAGTGCTGCTTTGGATTGGTTTGTTTCCTAATTGCCGTCCATAACATTGTTTGAAAACTGCTCTGCGAATCAATATCTCATCCTCTCTTCCTATACAGCTCTAGTTATTCCCCCATCTTTTATCCCTTTTCCACTCTCACTGCTTCCACATCTCACCCACATTTTCTGCTGTTCATGTCCTTTCTGACACCCCTCTCATCTTCATTTCCCCCAAAATGTTTAAGTTCCTTCCATCGTTCAGTCAAAATCTCTACCTCTGGCACCATTAGCTGAACCGACAGTTCACTTCCATGGAACCTCATTAATACAGCTCTCCTGTCAGAGCCAGAAGGGAGAGTGCCGAGAAGGACCAAGAAAAAGAAATAGGACAAGCTCAAAAGGAGATACCTGTCATATTTAACACTGAATATATCTACCTTTCTAAGCCACACGCACACATACATGCGATTCTCAACTTTAGATTCTTGATTTTTCAGTTTTGCACTCCAATGTTAAGCCAATTAAGTCTCAGCAATGACACTTGAAATGGAGGGAAGATGAAGATCCAGCTACCAAACTATGAACAACTCTTAATACCACAATTTGTGACTGTTTATTGCCGTAGTTGGGCTGAAACTGGACTTTTAAAATGCACACAGAAAAACAAGTTTGACCAAGATTGCATTAAATCGAAAGGGGGCATGTCAAAGTAGAGGCAGACATGCTTTTGTCAATGATTCTTGCCTGGTGCATGTAAATTGGGACAAGGGTTGTTGTCGGTTAAATTACCTAGTTGAGCTTTAACCTTAGCCTGACTTAGCAGTGGATGCTAATGATGTTGAATAACAAGTCAAATTGGAGCCATTCAATTAACGGCAAAACATTTGGCGCCATGATTTAATTTTTATAATTAATCTAGTACACAATCATCAAATCTTTTTAAAATTGATTAAAATCTACAAGAGCTCAGTTTAAAAGCCCTTAAACACAAAGTATGTTAACTTTAGTCCTAAATGTGACAACCTGAAAATATATTAACTCACTCCAAGGTGAAAAAAGAAGTACAAAAGTTAAACTGGAAACACTTTCAATCTCCCAAAGAAGATAAGGAAGATTGTGTGCAACACTTCCACATATTCAGTCAAGCAGAGAAAAGGCTAAAAATTGGTTTCTATTTAATTTTCAAGTCAAATCTTATCTCTTGTTATACTTTTGACTGTTTTGTTTCTCATTTCCTCCATTTCTGTTCCAATCAAATTCGTTTTTTCAACCTTCAAATTTAGATTGCTTTTGTTTTTGCTTTATGTATTTTACCTCTTATATTGTTAAAGTGTAGCTTTCATCTTTGTTTATTGCCTTTTCTCATGTAATTTATTTTTTACTTTAATGTCATTTAACTGTTCTCGTCTTTTTAAGCTCCATTTTTGGTCTCATTTCATGTTTTTTTTGTTGTTGTTTTTCACGTTTAAGTTTGCTCTCATGTTCTTTTGGGGTTCTTTTGTATTGGCACTCTTATTCTTTGTTTATTTCGCCTGCTTACTTATCTAAGAATAAAGGTGCTGTTATTCAAATCAAGTTATTACGTTGATTAGTTTGTGCTTGTTCAGACTAAAACAACTCAGTGTTTTGACACAGTGAAACAAAGCACAGTACCATGAAAGAAATGCAGTCCGCTTTTTGAGATATTTAGAAAAACAAGGAGGAATACATACATAAATACATAGACTACCCATTGATTCTGACGCAGTAAATCGACTGTACAAGCAGACTTGTCAAAAAGAAAGAAGCTTTCTGACACCAGTATCCATCCGTCAATCATAGCGCTGCCATATCCCAGCCCCACTGCTTGCTGCTCGCAGTGCCAATTAGCTGACAGGGTGAGGGCCTGGTGCAGAGTGCCAGCCACGGGCTCTGCCAATTAGAGCCTGACCTCCCTTCTCACCCTAATGCTGGCACGGTGTGTGGGCACCCCATCCTGGGCAGAGGTGAGCTACAGCTACTGATATGTAAAGGACAGTTGAGTGGACACCATCCAAAAAGTGAAAGAGGAAGGGCAAAACAAAGGAAGGAGGGAGGGTGAGAAATAGATGGATGGATGTATAGTACGCTGTCAGTGGGGAACAATCGAAAGAGCAGCGGTGCAGATAGAATATCTGCTTATTTAAGCTGACAATCAATGGATCACAAACATTTAATATGCTCCATGTCAGCAAATAAACAGGCTTTCAAACAAATTCAAAGAATCCAGACTCTGAGACTGAACCCCGTAACACTGACAACTTCACACTTCCAAAAAGCAACTTTAAGATACGAGCAAATACAACAATAAAACAGTTACACCACAGTTTATCCCTGTCAAGCTACGTAGATCTAAAAACTATGTATTCCTCCTTTTACCCCTTTTAGAAACAAAAGACAAGAGGACCTTTCTTTCCTCAATCTTTCTTACACTCTGTGATGTGGACAGAAAGAACAAGTCAAAAGAAAAAGCCTTTTTTTATACAGCTATTCTTTATGAAACACCACCACAGGCGCCAATTTAAAACCCAGCAAGTCTCTTTTAATACCTGGGAAATTAAATTGTCTCCTTATTATCAGGCAGGTCCAGTCGGCTGTATCTAAAATGCACCAGCATGCAACCCAAGTACACAGGGTTCTTCCAAAAAGGCAGGACATTTGCCTTAGACTACAGTTTTTTGGAGCTTGAAGAGAGAGAGAGAGAGCGAGGGGAGTACTGGGGGTGAACAGAGGAGAGGAGGCCTGTTGCATTAAAAACGTTAAGCTTTATCCAAAGTCATTTCCAAGGCAGCCAAGCATCAAATGGAACACAGTTTAAGGAAAGAGTAGGTACTGATTTTCTCCAGGAGCTCTGACAGGATGGACATGGTGAGTGAGAGTGTGTGCAGAGAGCAAACAAACATTCAGGCTATGCTGTGTTATCCCTTGCTGTGAAAGCAGAGGTGTGGAAAAAATATGGAAAATCACATTAGCTACTAGAAATAGTGGGAGTGAATGTGTGTGTGTGTATGACAGAGAGATGAAGATGGAAACAGAAAGAGTGTCAAAAGCATTATAAACAACTGCGAGGCTGATTGGTGGAACAAGGCTGTGGATTAAACCGAATGGTCCGTATCTCTACATCTGCAAACATGTCTTTTCACTATCACATTAACTTACTTTTGGAGTTATCTCCTGTCTTAAAATAGAGTGACATCTAACCATATCATATCATATGGACTGTCATATACTATTTCCTATCCAGTGTACCTGATATATCCAGGTGGTGTCAAATGGGGGTGTCCCTATACGATATTAATATCAATCCGATATCAGCAAAAACGCATATCGGATTATATCGGCCTGCATCTAAAATCTCTGATATCAGCAATCCAATATAAGCGGTCCATTCCAGACTCTGCTCCGGCACCTCTATATAACAGCGCCCTGATCCGGCAAGCTGATCCCACAAAATCACAACAACAGTGTGTACTAAGGCACTAACAAAGTAGCAAGGAGTAAGAGTGATGTCGGCCTTGTGGCAGTATTTTTTGTTTAAGTCCGAAAAAGACGTTGCAGCTGAGTGAAAAACTTGTTACGCACAATTTTAGATTAATATCGGTATCGGTCAATATTGAAGACTACAATATCGGTATCCTATCTGAAGTCAAAAAGTTGTATCAGGCCACCCCTAGTGTCAAAAATAACTAAGTGTATGAAGCACAATTTTACTCTCCATTCCTTCACAGAAAATAGATATTGATCCATAATGTTTAACACCTTTTATTCCCACGTTTTACAACAAAATATTGACTCAACAGTTTATTCAGGTGACTGTTTTAAGCTAACTCAAAAAAAAAAAAAAAACATGAACGCACACTAAAAATATGTTGTATGAAACGTTAGGTGCACTGAGGCTTTTGAAGTGGTGGTGCTTTTTTAAGTGTGGCTGCTTGAACTACTTCTTTGTGATTATGATTTATGAATCTTGGCGTATACATTACCAGATGGAAACGACTCCAGCTGTGTCCCTCACAGCTCCTATTTTTTAAGATTACTTTGTTGTGTTTCTCAGCAAAGTCTCTTTGACATGATTGCCTACAGTTAAAAGAATATTTGAAAGGAAAAGAAGAAAATTAAACACTTTGGTGGTAGCCTGAGGTCTCAGAATAAAACAAAAAAGGTAAATGTGAGAGCTGACTGCTTCAACAGAGTCCCCAACTGTAGACAAAATCACTGCCGCCAGGTAGACTCCACCCGAGCCACAGTTTTGAGCTCAAAAAAGATTGATGACTCTGAGTTTGATTGAAAAGTCTGCCTCAGGGGTTAGAGCCTGTGTGTCTGGGTGAAACGCTGTGGCCGGTGATTGATTGGCCACTGGGCCAGTTTGGATCCGCAGGGGAGCAGAGTCGTCAAAAATCAAAAGGGGGGACAGCATAAAAGTCTGTGATTTCATTAAAACACAGCTGTGTAGACTGACAGATGGCTATAGACTGTGAATAAAATAGTTACATGACCCGTTTATGCCATGTGCTACTCCATCTTACATTCATAACTCATCATCTGTCTCCACATTACGAGAAGATTCCATCTTTGTTGGGCTCATTCATTCATGGTCTTTCTGCTATTGCTTTGAGCGTGGACCCACCAAGAAGAATCACATATTCCTAATTGGTTTTGCTGGGAAATTAAGCACTAATTGACCTGTTATCTAACCAAGTGTTTATTTGTGTTTAATGGGTCCACTAAGTAACTCCTTGATGAGGCCATTGTGACCAAATAACAGCCACCAATCACTCGTTTCACGCTAAACTCAGTCCATCGAGCTCATGTTGAATTCATTCTTATTGCCCACGTGATCAGACAACACAATTTTCCTTTATTAGGCTGCCAAATGCATTGAAGAAAAAACAATGGAGTTGATAAGTGTTGCAACACTTTCTGGTGTGAAATCAACCAGAGTGCGGTTGTTTTTGGCGGCCATTGTGATCTGAGAAATGAAGCGTCTCGCTTGACAGGCAGGCAAATGAGCAAAACCAAAAATGTGCGGAGGAAAAAGAGAGAACTTTTTATAAACTACAGATTCTTAGAGACTTGTTTGCTGTTTGTTTTATTATCATTTGAATATCTGATATTGGATCACAAAAAGGTGAAAAATCCATGCCGACAATGTGCTTCTGAACCCTTGTTACCCCTTCCATGTGCACCTGAGTTTCCTTTTTCCTTCACCGTGGTTCCCCCTGAGTGGCAGAACATGTGTGAGCGCTGACACTGAACATGTTCCCTCTCAGACAACAGAACCCCAGGAACCCAACAACAATGACAAAGACAACACACAGCCCTGCCTGCGCTGCTGTGAAGTTTCAATTACTGCTAGACTTGGTAGCTGGCTGCTGCCAGTCAGCCTGACAGGGAGCGGAGTGACTGCTGGTGGAAAAGCATGAAGGACAAGCACTCACAGCAGGGTGGAAGGAACCATCTAAGGCCCAAGCTACTCATGACACTCTATATAAAAATATACTTGAGTGCATTTAATGACAAGTTTAAATGCCAACAAAGGTTTGAACAGGAATAGATAAAAAAATAGTTGCTTTAAAATACTTGGGGTGTATTTAAAGGTTGGTAGCTGTTATAATGGCCATAAATCTTAGAAACAGGGAGACAACAGTCATTCTGTGGTATATAAAAAGGCTGGAGCCTGACTGATATATCAGTTTGCCGATATCATCAGGCTGATATTGGCCGACCACAGCTATTATATGGGTACTTAGTCATATGTCCTCCATTGTCTGACAGTGTCATTTTTTAAGGCATGAAGTGTCATGCAGAAAATGATGCTGTGAGCAGAAGTGCACTAACACGGGTAGATATAATGTTAGATATGTTGTTAAATAAAGGTAGTGGTAACACTTTACGCATTATAAATGTATGTATAATGCGTTATAAGCAATAACCATAACACATTATCAAGCATTTTATCACGACTTACAAGGTCAGGTATTATAATTGTTAACAACTGACTGACAATGACCACATAGAAAATTCATTAAACATATATTTGTGATGTGTTACAATTTGCTTTCAAACTTGTATAACTATCATTATAAACACTCATTAATTATCATAAGGCTTTATAACAATACGCATAACACATTATAATACCTGATCTTGTAAGTCATGATAAAATGCTTGATAACGTGTTATGATTATTGCTATAAAGCATTATGATCATTTATGAGTGTTTTAGCTATAGTTACAAAGTGCCTTAACGTGATTATAACGCATTATTCATATATTTATGATGCAATACAAAGACAGGAGTCAAGTAAAATGTTACCAAGGTATTTCTGAGAGAGGGTCCAGTTTTCAACATAAATTATTTTTCCTTTAAGTCCTAATGTGACCAGATTTTGACGTTTAAAATAAGACCTGAAATCTTGATGTGGAATCCAAATCAATGAAATCTAAACGATACCCAGCCGTACGTCTTGGGGCAATACTTCAGAATGGGTGTCACTGTAATTGGAGCAGCAACGCTTGCTGAGGTTGCGGCCATAATAGGCAAGCGTGGGGAGGCATAACTGGTCCCAGCATTGCTCTCATTGTGTGTGAAGTCGGGGAGGGAATGTACGGGGTCCTGCTGCTCACCGTGACCTGTATCTTAATGAGACAGACAAATCAATACCACACGGGACAAAAGAACACAAGAGCTGCAGCTGCAATAGACAAATGTTTTTTTAAGCTGGCAATGAACATGAAAGTAGGGTTAAGGTCAATTCACGTTCAATTAAAGCAATTTGGAGCACAATAACAGAACCTGGACTCTGACTACATATTTGACCTTTTAAGTATATTTTTCCAGTTTTTAGCTACAGGTAAAGCTCCCTTTTCTGTGCCATTAAAGAAAGCTGTGTTTTTGATTATTTTCTATAGGTCAGCTAACAGTTTCAGATAGCAACCTGGTTTAATGTGCCAGAAAACAGTAATCGAGGGTATTTACAACCCTGGATTAGGTCCAACTGGAGACATATGTTGAATGACAATCCCGTTTCTCTCCTTGTGTTTTTTTGTTCTCTTCTTGTCTTTATAAAACCATCAGAATAAAAACAGCCCTCCCGAGTTGGACAGATGGATTGACTGATGACAGATGTGATGTTTACTCATGTGGGCGACACCAAGTTTTTCACTCTCCACAATATTGTAAAAACAAAAAAAAAAACAACAACAAAAAAATATCATTTGGCTTGACACCAAAACTGATGGTGGGCTGTGATAAATCAAGCAGTTTTCAAAACACTTTCACTCATGTCAGTTAAAAAAAAAAAAAAAAGAAAAAACAGATTTTTATCCCTCACTCAAAAGATTTTGAGTTGACACATTTTTGCTCTGGTAACTCGAGTTAAACACAAGACTTGGAGAGCTACCCCAGTAATGTGGAGAGGATTCTCTAACTTCCGACATCTTATTTTTAAAAGCAATTTTTTATGCAGCACTTTGCACACAATTCGTCTAAAGTGTGAATTTGCAAACGAGCGCTTATTAACATGCAAAAGCGAGAATGCTTTCGCACAATAATGAATGGGAGTGTGAATTGAAATGATTTGCTCAAGGTTATTGCTAACAGGGCAGGTAATGGCACAATGCATGAAGTGTTAACAGGTTTACTGGGGATAAGGGCTTTAACAAATCACCTTTGAAAGCTCTATCAGCTACCAGATTATGTGCTTAGTCAGTACAGCAGACCTCAATCTCTCTCAGAAGCTCTTCCTCAATCAACTTATTGACTTAACCCAGCGATCAGAACCAATTTCACCTCCGGACGACTGATGTTCACACGCTTTACGACAATGCTAATTCAATTTGTTGGTTACCCAATGCAGACAAGGTGGTGATGAGGGACATTGTTGATAGACCAAAGTGCCCATAAGCTTCTTATCACAAATCAAAGGCTGATTATGTATAAGATAAGAATAAATAAAGAAAAATCTGACACAAAAAGGCAAAACAAACACATAAAAAACCTTAAAAAACATGTTTTATGCGTCATGAAAGACGTCTTCTTATCACTAAAGGGAGGGGGAAGGGACTTTCCCTAAGTTTGACAAACACAGACAGAGGGAAAAAAATGACAATAGGTGGGAGACGTCTTTGGTGAGAGGCTGCCATTTAAAAAAAAAAAAGGAAAAGTCCATTTCCAGTTGAAAGGACAGGGACTGTGTGGATGCGTCTGACTTGACAATTACATGAGTGCTGCAAACGCCACCGCGCCTTCACTGATAACCTGTCGGATTCCATTAAAACTCCGGCTCTCTAAAATAAGGTTCAAACTCAGGAAATTATCTCATAGGCACACATTTTAAAACGCCTGTGATAAAGATTCTTCTGCTGCATTAAGGAGGTAAATGAGCTGAAAGGGGGGATGAAAATATCAACTAGATTTGTGCAGAAAACACAAATTACAGGCAAAGACTGAGACAAAGACTCCGTATGACATTGTGAACAGTCACTGCATTGCAGATATCTGTAGTCTGAAAGGCTGTTAATGGCCTTAGGTTAGCCTTGGGGCCACAAGCAAAAGCTTTACAGCGAAAAGACAAGAAGATTCTTTAGGTGGTACTTAAAAGACATCCAGGCGATGACATTCAAAAGGGTTCTCCTCTGAGACCCATAACCCACTGTCCTGCTCTTACTGTATATCCCTGACTAAAAGCAGGTGTTACATTATTGGCCTTCCCTCCATTTGTCCTGTCTTGTCTCCTATAAAAACTGACAGAAAACCTACGACTGAAACAGCTTTCTTCACACATGATAAAGGGAAAAACACATCCCATCATGAGTCACCCCTCCTTCGCCATCCCGCCTTTTTGTCTTTCCACTGGATCCTCGTTCCAAATGAGGGATCCCTCGCACACTTGTCCTACGGGGAGGAATCACGTCAACGCTCCCCTTCTCCTCTCTCTCAACAAAAATGATTCATTTTTCTATTACAACGATGAGCGAGTGAAATGAGCTATATAATCAATAACATAGGTTTGTAAACAGCAGCTACACTCCGGGGAAAATATGTTTTTCTTTTTGAAACAATACACCGCCTGTGTGTGTGCGTGGGGTAAGGAGTGCTCATCTGACAAGGTTTACAAGGGCAATTTGGAGGAAATAAAGACACAGGACTCTTACAGTGACGGGGGCTTTTTTAAACACGGCGGGCTGAACAGGCAGAGGACAGAAATATCAAGCTGCAACATGCAGATACAGCAATGAATGATTTATTCACTTTTTGTTTTGTTAAAATGATTGTTTGCTTCTAAGGGGTAAATACTGATATGAAAAAGACAGATTGAGAACTATTGCTCAGTGATGCAACATGTGGACACAAAATGGGACCTGTTTTCATGTTCAAACATCTCTGTGTACCTGTGCTGGTTCAATGCTCAGTTCAGATCTGTTTGATACTGTGGGGCAGATTTAACCAGATGAATGCCACTAGAAAGAGTTAAACCGCTTGAGATGCCATACTCAAGTGGTTTAAGTTACTTACGAAGAGCTGAGCGCGGAGCTTCTCGTCCTCAGTGGAGATCCTCTCTCTTAGCACAGCCTGCTGTAGGCTCTCATGGGCCACGGCTCGCTCCACTGACAGGATCCTGCTCACTTCATCCTGGACCTGAGACTGGGCTTCAGCCTGAGCCTGGGCTGCAGACCGGGCCTTCTCTGACTCCAGCCTGTGGGGAATCAACATTTCACAGGGTTAATGCATGTGCTACAGATCTTAGATGTTATATATTTATGAAGTCCAAACCACCTCAATACTGGTATTTAGGGTGAAATAGCATTTACTTTGAAGAGCCAAAGGTAGGCATGAAATGGGGATAGTAGGTGTACATTAGGGCTGGGCGATAAACCGAAAATTTACCGATACCGAAATGTATGACAATAATCGCCGTCATTTTGCCCGTGTCAATATATTCGGTGTCAAATAAATAAATAAATAAAAGTTGTTGTTGGATGTGTGTAGGTAGGCTATGGTCCCACGTCTCTTTAAGACGCTGTTCTACGTCAGAGACGTGACTCCACCTCATCCAGCCCGTAACAAAGAGGAAAAGACAGGTGAGGAGATGGAGGATGATTCAAAAGTTGTAGCGGCTGGAGTCGACGAAGTTAATGTAGGAGGGGGTGAGCAGCTTGTGAAGTAGTTATCATCCATTTATTGTTATCAAGGTGAACTGCTCAATAAATCGTGATATTGATTTGAGGCCATATCGCCCAGCCCTAGTGGACATGTAAAACTGACATGCATGGGTACGTGGAGAGAAAAGATGCTTAAATCCTAAAATTTAGTGCAGATACCAATACTGATTATAAGCTATTGGTCTGTGTTTACACGTGTCTTGCATTACTTATTTCTAATACTTTCTCTGTTTTAAAAGAAGCTATGTGGTTTGATGTATCAAAACAGGAGCAAAAATAGTTTCTTCCTGAAATGTCCCAGGAATATGTTCCAGAGACTGCATGTTGCTGATCTGGCTGCTTCTGCCAAATAGCCCCCCTCTATCACAAGTCAGGTCTGTGTTGCTTTACCAGCGTTAAATTGATAAAACAGATAAGATGTGGCGAGAAACATGTAATTGCATGGCAGATTATTGCTGATGGGCAGATGTCTGTAAAAAGGGCATGTATCAGCCAATGTTCAACCTGCACACCATCCCCCAGTGAAAAGTTGGCCAAGTGCAGAGAGTGAAGAGTGCTACAACTACATGGTTACACAGATGTTGCTAAAGAGGACAACAAATAACATATAACATGATGGTAATGTTGATCACTAACAATCCACAAAGATATTTCATTTCTTTAAATCATTAAAAAGTGAACTTTCGAAGCACCTTTAGAGTTCAAACCAACGTTTAAACCCACCTTCTTGCTTGCTGTACTGCTGCATTGCATGCTGCAGAGTCAAGAGTGTCTCCCAAAAGAATTAAAAGGTCACAAATGTGATTACTGTGCTAATGAAGCACAGATCGGTCAATACACCTGATTATTGATTTTCAACCTTAATGTCAGAGTCATCTATACTCATGCTCTTGCTGCACCACAGCTAACTGAAAAAAAAGGAAACATCCAGGAGTCATACAGTGGAAGAAAAGTTGAACTTAGTCAAAAAAAACCTTGATGTTTCACAGTGAGTTAACATCTGTTAGACAGTTTGAATCAATTCATATAATTTCCAAATGATTTACACTGAAGATTGATTAGACTATTAATATGTAACAAGCAAAACCGTCATCCAAAACTTCAGCCATCCATTCAATGAAGCAGTGATATAGATGGAGGCAGAACGCTCTCTGCAGACATAAGACCACCATTTGAACCCTGTCACTGGGTTCTTGTTGTTGCCTAGCGACACACTCCCTACTCAGCGACAGTGTGCCTGATTGGAAAAGAGGAGGAACGTCCCTGAAACCCTGAAAGTCTTCCTCTGCTAGGAATCAAACAGTGGCGGCGAGGTAAAATAAACACAGAACAGGGAGAGAGCGAGTGGCTGAGAGGAATATGACAGACTGAATGAAGATGGAGAGGATCTTAATAAAGTTCTGCCAGAGAAAAAAAATCCAAAGACCACTCTGACAGACAGCCGGGATGAGAGGGAGACTGGCTCAACTGAGAGTGATGGTGTGTGCTGACTGTTTTCTGACCTGTTCTATGGATAGAAAAGCCGTTCGGTTCACAGTTCTTCAGCATTCAAACTAACTCATCAATCTCATCGCTTTTGTTTACAGCTATCTGAATGTCAGAGGAAGCTCTATTTATTGCGATGAAACAAAGAAATCTAAGTTCTTTTTGTTTGCAGCAGATTAAAAGAGCTGAAAGCATTTTAGCTTGGCTGCATTAAAAACAAACTGCTTTTCAAAATGATGAAACGAGGATGCTATAGGCTCCTTAAATTATATATTACTCAACAGACTTTTTATTCTTTTACCCAGACTGGAATTTTTTTTCAAATGCAGTATTTGGTCTATTTACTAGTCTGCTTAATTACTTCTGTAGAGTTTATTTTTCTTCGTATGCTGCTGATTAGCTAAATCTCAAGTACAAGCTGCTCCAAACAAATTCACCTTAAAGCTGCGGCAAGTAATCAGTTTTAAGCATCAATATTACGACAGTGAAATTATCAGCATTAATACCTATGGTGTTGTTTGCTTTTGAAGGTCATAAGGAGGCATCAGTATCAGTTTCTGGCTGCTTCTTAAATAGTTAAAACTCCTTATAGTGCCTTTTAAGTATTAACAAAGTAACCTGGATTCAAGTAAACAATTAAATCGCAGTTGTTCTTTAAGAGTGGTCAATTAGATATCAGAATGATCTCCTTTTCCATACTTTTTTATTTCCAAAGTTGTTCTTCTGATATCTGCAGTGGCCAATACGGCTAAGCTCTCTGCAATAGTTCAGACAGATCTCCATAAAGGGAAACATGATGCAAATTCAGACTCTTCTGGCCCCAACCCTCTCATTGGTTTCTTCTTCTTCTCTCTACTCCCCACATTACCTTTTTTCTTCAGCTGTTCAATCTCGTACAGGTCAAACAAGGCCCCTAAAAAAACTTTTATGCAATTTTGAAGTTTAATTAGTGAGGAAAAACCTTCTGTGTCACTAATGAATTGTGCTACAGTAGAGCAGTGTGTTTGGATTTGCATAGTTAATGTATTTACAACACGTTTGCTGTTTATGAGGTTGTTCTGGCTTATTGCAGGATGTCTTCTTTTTTCTTTTGCAGCACATTTTCATTGCTTTAATTTGCCTTGGGCTTCTGCATACTGAACATATTCAACTTCGCAATACATTAATCTTGGCAAAAACTTCACCTTGGATATCATAGAGATCACAAGCATTGTTCCATACTGATATCAGCATCCATACCTGTGTCAGATACAGACCAAAATACAGTAGCAGTTATTCTTTTTTTACTTTCTTTACAAAAGCCTAATTTTTACCTCCAATTAGCTGTGAGAGTTCACAAAATAAAGGCAATGATGAATCAACATGCCATGTCTTTGGCTTTTGCAACAGGTAAACTTTAATAAAAACATGCATGGTGTCTGATGTCTTAAAGCTGCCATTTGCCCCGCAACTCCACTCAATGTCGGAGAGCAGCTGAGACGGAGAGACACAAAAAAAGAGAGAGAGAGAGAGAGAGAGGGAGAAGCAGGAGTGAGCAGCAGCGACATGACATGTTTGGCCCCGAGGAAGTCAAGCAAAGAGGGAGCGAGGCAGAGAGTGGGAGCGAGAGATGGAGGGAGACGGAGAGAGACCAGCCATGTCCAGTCTCACAGTCCACTGGGCTGCACACGTCAGCAGACTCCATCCATCATCTAGCTTTGACTCACACACAAAGACACAGAGGGAGACTCCTAATGGCCTTTTACATTCACCATTTCCCTGCAATACACCCCTAATGCACCAAGCTGCCTTCAGTACACAAAACTTTAGCTGCTGTTTTTCCTTACTATGACAACAAGCAACTCTGCCTGAGTAAATCTAGATGTAGTGTATCTTGAAAACTTTGTCCGGGTAAACTCAGATTTTCTAATAAAAGTGTAATTATTCAGATATCAGTGTTTTCTCACCAATAGCAGTGTTTTTAGCAGCTCTAGGCTTTTACCACTAACCCTTAAAGACAACATAAGTGCTGGGCATATCCTGCAGTCTCCCATAATGATAAAAAAAGTAGCACAATACAAAGGCTACGATTGTTTTTACAGTGACATACATCATTTTGGATATGGCCATGTCCAACATAAAATTTTCCTTCAACTACTGCTCTTAAGTCTTGCAAACAACAGAAAAAGAAACTGTTTAGACGAGCCTAAAACTTGAAATTCAGGCTCTGAGCAAAAAGAGTAAATTGGCATTTTTGTCCAATGCTTATTATCGAATGTAAATACAATATTCCTTGAAGCTCCTGTGGGGAACATTCAGTTTGTGTTAATTTTGTCTCCCCCCTGTGGACATACAGTCTTGTCTTTTCTATAACCCACCCCCTTTCACCGCTTTCAGGCACAAAAAAAATTGCCATATAAAAATGATCAGTCTTGTTGGTGATGATGAACACTCTTCACCAGAGCCCATAAGGAGATTTAGCTGAGATATGCTAGAATAAATACATATGAAGTTCAAATGTTGGAAGTCCTTACTTAACCGCAGCAAAATCCCATGATGTGAGACACACAGACAGCACCGTAATCCTGTCTGGGCATGTTTTCCAGGTTCACTTAGCAGCTTGTTTTGAGACATGACCACAACCTGACCTCAGGTTGTACAGTGCTAATAGGACAACAACAATGGGTCCTGTCTGGAGTTCTATCAAGGACATGCCCAACCAGAAGCTGGAAAAGCTGTTACACCACTCATCATGTTCCTCTACTCTGCAGGTTTTCTATTCGTCACATTTCTAAAAAGTGTTCCTCCATGTTATTTTGGTTGGTCTATGAGCCAGAAGCTATAAGTACTATTCTAAGTGCTTACTAATGTGGTGTAATGTGGAGCTTAGTTGTTGCTAACAGCTAGCCTCAGGCTTTTTCTGTAATTCATGACAACTAAACCGTGTAAAAAGGAACACCCATGTGCTGCGTCTAACTTTTTTTTTTATCACTCAAGAAGCGGCAAAGACCAAGCGTATCAGGCAGTGGGTGAAAAAAAGTTGAAATGAGAGTTCAGAATAAGGTTAATTTAGCAATTCTGCAATTATGCTCAGCTACTGTCCCAAACTGTGTTATGAAAGTTGAAGGTAAATATAACAAGCCTATTAGGATTTTGAACTTTAAAAAGTACTTTTTTGTTGCCATTTCTACAACTTGTAACGTTTTGTTTTGTGTTGTTATGCAACAGGAAACAAACGTGTGAAGTGATGGCAAATCAAGATAGGTGATGCAAAAACATGCTGATGAAAAAGTATATCTATCAAGTATCTATAAAGTATCTTGATTAAAATACTAAATTCAATAAAAAGCTTTCTATAATTTTGACAAATTATTCAAGAAACAAACAAAAGAAAAAGATTTATACGACTGTCTTCATTTCAGTGACAGGAAGCTACATTCAAGACAAATGAAAAGAAATGGGGCCAAGCCAAATAGACAGCCTTGCAAAAAAAAGGTCCCTCTACTCACTTTCCCACAAGTGCTAACCCAAGCAAAGACTGCTATCACCAGCTGGATGCTATCTGTCTGCTTCACCTCTATTGCTTTCCAGTCATTATTACCCTGTCCCTGGGATATTGGACGCATTTTTCATTCGGCTGTGGAAGATTGGCACCGGCCAGGAAAAGGGGAATCTTTAAGGTATAGAGAATGGTTGAGTCAGACCAGGAAAGGAAAAAGACAGCACGTTTGTGAAAAAGAAAAAAATACTTGGGAGGATAAATGGCTGATGTTTGTCCTGGTACCGAGTAGAGAAAGAGGATATTCTTGGCCCAGTAACCTCTGTGTTGACGGCTCAGTGGATCAAGCCTTAAAAACACAAAGATAGGATGGCAGAGCCCGTGGGGTAACATTAATTTGAAAGTGGGTCAGACTCTTTCTTGCTTTCCAGAAAGGGAACTTTCTATCTGTAGGTGAGGACCTTGAACGAAGTACTTGGGAACACTTAAGTTCTTTGAGGATGCTATTTTTAAAAACTGCAGAGAGAGGACTTCTGTAGCAGTTCTTATAAAAAGTGAACAGGTTAAACAGCTGGAGTGCTGCAACTTAGAGTTAGGTGGTGATAGGCACAGATAGACTGTCTCATTGTATATGGCTTTAAATTTTAAGTAAAACCAATACAATCCAATTTTAAGATGCTTTAATACCTTGGAGGATGAGGTTGTGGTCCAATTCACTTATTTTGATTCTTTAGCACAGAGTAATTTGAATTTAGGATTCCAGTTCTGTGGGGAACTGATATCTAAGCAAGGTGTGCTTCAAGGTAATACCGCATGAAGAAGACAGGTCCCTACAATGGTGGCATGTCACCTTCCCCCAACACATACACACACAGACATACAGGCAGGGTGTTGGGATATAGAAATGAGTAATTCAGACTGAAAACATTTTTTCTACCTTGCTGTTTACGTGTTTATTGCTGCTGTGAAAATGGGTAAATTTAACATTTATGTTAATATGATCTCAAGGCTTTTGAACACTTGAGATACTGCAGTTTTTAGTTTTGCTTGACTGATGTATTTTCTACTGACCTATGCTGACACAAAGAGAGTAGGTCTGCTGATGGCCAAATATGCTGATATCACACAGTTGTTGATGTTAAAAGTTTCGTAAAAAATATCACCAATTATTCCTAAAACACTATTATCCAATATATATGTGTATCTTAGTAACATGTTTCAGATGAGTTTTTTAATCATGAAATAGAATAAAACATTAGGTTATACAATAGATTTTGTAAGAGGACTATGTCAGAGTCAGAAGCAACACTTAACTGTATTATTCAATACCTAATAACATATTCATACAAAATAAGAGCCAGAAACTACTTTCAATATTGTATACTTTAAGTGCAGAAAAACATGTTATCATTTCGTGGATTTAAATTTGCTTGAGAGCAGCCACAATGACAAGTTTGCCAACAGTGAATGCAAATGTTACTTATCTTCTTTTTTTTCATTGGCCTTGTGAGCTCAGGCTAATGCAGCTGATTTCAAAAGGACATTAATTGGCTGGATTCACTCAATTTATCACTCAGTCAATCTCTTGTTTGAGTGCATCCACATTGAAATCATTTTTAAAATACCTGCAGTTGCTTCCTGAGCTCTTTTTACATTCCAGTGCAGGCACATGTGTGTGTGGAAGTACTCACCTTTCAAAGTAAATGCACATAATGTTGGAGCTGAGTGTTGAAAAAAAAGCAAATCATTCACCAAATGATTTGATGCCATTATGCAAACATTACCTAATACTCTCAATTAGGGCTGAAACGATTACTCGAGTAACTCGAGTAACTCGATTAATAAAATTCCTCGAGGCAAATTATATGCCTCGAGGAATCGTTTAAATCCGGAACCATGTGCAGCGCACGGTGTTTGACACGGACGGTTATTTCTGTTGCGCGGCAGCGTGCTCTTTCCGCTCCTTCCGCTGCCGCGCGTTTCATAGGCCCAATTCCAAACTCCACCCTAAGCCCTCAAGCCCTGCACCCTCATTAGCTTAGGTTAAGTCAGCTGGTAAGTGCTTGAGTGTGGGAGGGTTTAAGGGCTCCAAAAGGGTATAAAAGCAATGGAACAGCCCTTTGTGACGTGCCACGTTACCTTGATGACAGACGACAACGTTGCCGTGACAACCAAAGATGCGACTGACACTTGCCTCTCTGGGCCTCTTAATTCTGCATTTATTTCGCGGCCAGCGACGTCGCAGAAGAAAGGCCAACATTGTTTTGCTCCTTTTGCACACACTTGCTCTTGAACATAGACAAAAGGTAATTGGTAAATAATGATCAGATTGATAAATTACAAAACCAGCATTAATGATAGGTTAAGTGATATTGAATGGTTAAGGTTGAAGCACTAGATTCTGAAAGTAATCACTGCTTAGAGTGTTAGTTCAGTATACAATGTATTGATTCAGATAAAAGTTTGAAGTAAAAATCAAATTTCTTTGTTACAAGAATAACGCATGCGTGCGTGTGTGTATGTGTGTGCATATATGTATGTATATACACACACACACACACACACACACACACACACACACACACACACACACACACACACACACACACACACACACACACACACACACACACACATATATATATCAGTGGCGATTGCTCTAAGACTGCAAGGGAAGCTCGGCTTCCCTTAAAATGTCACCCCCCAAAAAAAAGAAAAAGTGGTGAAATACGTACGGCTGTGTGTACATTTCATTAACTAAATACGCACTAGAAAGCCTTCATCTTTTGTTCAGACACTGTGACAAGAAGCTGATAATTACAGGTAACCGGCATAACTTCGTTCTCATTCATCCTCGCAGCGCCTCAGCGCTTTAAACAGCCGGACGCTGGGCTTCTGCTGACTTCAATGTGGAAGCTAAAAGTGGGTTGTTCCAGCAGCGAAACTAGACGCTCATTGGATAAATGCTGGGCTTTGTCCCGCCCATCGGAAGCCCAGCTTCACTGGAGTTCTATGGCGAGAGGGCGGTCCCGACTTTCTCCCGGACTCCCGGACTCCATGATTTGATGAGCTGTCTGAGGCGAAATCCTTTTTTGATTGACAGCTAAACAAGCGAATCAGCGATCTTGAAGAATAAAACATCTACCAGAGCATTTTCCAAGTTATTCATTCCGTTGTTCTTAACTGCTCCGGAGACTTTACCGATCTTCAGCGACTTCTATCTTTATTAAAAACGACTGCCGTTGTGTTTGGCGACTCTGTTCTGTTACATACTAATAAACAAATACAATTATGATGTAGGCCAGAAAAATGAGCTTCCCCTCATTGAAAGACCAGCAGCCGCCACTGATATATATATATATATGTATATACATATACATACATAATCTTATATCTTTGTTAATGTAGTGCATTCTTGTTCATCTTGGCTTTTTGTTAGAGTATTAAGGGTGCACCTAGATCCTGAATGAACTGCTTCTTCTTGAGCTTCTTCGCCATGATCTCCGTCATTTTTGGTGTCTGTCGCGGACGATGAGACGCTTGTGGCCTCGTTCCTTTTTAAATCCTGGCCCCGGCTGCGTCAGCGTCCTCCGGTAACGCCCGCAACGCAATGAATTGTGGGCAATTTCATAGCCAAAGTCTCCAACGGTACGGACTTACGGAAAGGGTGCAGAAAGGGGCGTTCCCGAGCCCTCGCTGACTTACCGATTTCATTTGGAACAACCCTCAAGCCCTACAGAGCTCACATGAGCGCGCACCTAAGTCAATGAGTCAGTGAGGGGGTGGTTTGGAATTGGGCCATAGACATAATAAAAGGGTAGACCCCGCTGGGGGGGCTGCGCAGCGAGAAATGCGGCCGCCATCTTGGTCAGGTCAAGCTTCCCATACGCTCCGGTCAATCATATTCATTCATTCAGCGATGCCGGAGCACTGTGCGGCGTATTCCTGTGCCAACAGGCGGACAGCAGAGAACAGGGCTCAAGAAATAACTTTTCACAGTTATGATTAAACGTTTTTTAAACATTACACTTGACTGTAGAGTCATTTGTAGGCCAAAGAGGAAGACTATCGGTCAACTCCAAAAAGGAAACAGCATTTGCGAACAGCTAGCTTATTCACAATAATAGCAACTTTGGTCGATTATCAACAGATTTGCATTAGATTGAAAAACTTTTGTTTGAGAGAGGTTCTAAGAAACGTTAAGAAATAAAATAGAAAGAAAAAGGAAGAAAGTGAGCTCTGTTTTATTATCTGTTTTATTAAAGATTTCTTTGTGGTGATCTCCTGTTTCATTTTGAAGATTTCCTAAGGACAAAAACTTGAGGAAGAAGTGGGAGATTGCTGTTAGAGGGAGAAATTCGCAGCAAGTGATTCCTCTGTGCTGTGTAGCCAACAAGCAAATTGATATGTAGTTTAGATGCTGTCCTGTCATGCTGTTCTTGTGTTTAAATCTTTTTGATATGTAGGCTATATATTTGTGTGTATTTTCCAGTTATTAAAATAGTGCTTCTATATGACATTATTTGTGTGTGTGTCTACAAATGGATAAATAAAATTAAACTATATAAAAAATTATAATCAAATCAATATATATTGAATTGGCCTATTAATACCGCCAGTTATTAATAATTATTGAGACATAGCAGGAACCTAGCTCTAAACCTAAATATATCCTTGATTAATTGTTATACTATAATACAGCCACTGCTGCCATGTTCTAAAATATCATTTTATTCATTCTGAGTATTTGAAAAGGCAAAAAAAAAATATGGCCTCTATCATGCCTCTTTGAATGGCGTTTGCAGAGAAGAAAATTACGTAGTATTGAGCGAACTATGATTCATTAATGCGCTCAGACTTCATTCCGCCGGTTAAACAGCAGTGCAGAGTGAGGCGGATGACCGGACCAAGATGGCGGCCGCATTTCTCGACAGCGCCCATTCGTGGTAGCGGCCGATGCGGGGTCTATCTTTTATTATGTCTATGGCGCGTTTGGTTCAATCATGGAGGGAAACGAGGACAGACAGAGAGAGGAAGAAAGAGATGACACGCAGAGGAAACGGCAGAAAGTGTCTAAAGTGTGGGACCATTACACACTGAAAAGGAAAGAAAACGCCGTGCAGTGCGTTCACTGTAAGGCGGAGTTGGCGTTTCACAACAGCACGTCGTCAATGCTGCAGCACCTTAAAAGAAAACACCCGGTCCATGCATTAAGTCCGCAGAGCGGACTTAATGCATGGATGGTTTTTAATGAGGCAAACGTGATTCAATGCAAAGTATTACAGTGAGAGCAAAACATTTCTTATCCGATTACTCGATTAATCGACAGATTAATCGATAGAGTACTCGATTACTAAAATAATCGATAGCTGCAGCCCTACTCTCAATCAAACCATCCAAATACTCTTACCTGTTTCATGAATATCAAAAGAAAACAACATTCAAATTCATGTCTTCAACCTCCACCCTCTTTCTCCTGCTTCCTCCCTCTCTCTCTTCCTCTCTCTCACTCCTCACCTGATAATGTTTCCTGTTGTCTAGCTGTCATCTACACAAGATATGTCTCAATACAGTATGCCTGGCAGGATGGATTCTGACAGATCCGCATAACAGTGCTGACTGAAACAAAGGCATTTAAAGGCCCGATGCAATATTGATGTTAGGAATAATGCAGCTGAATACTGCCCATGAATTTTTTATGGAGCTATGCACTCTCCCTGACACACTGGCGCTCACACATAAACACACACACATGCATGCACACGCACACACCTGACTGTGGGTAGTATGAAATGCCAGGACAGAGATCAAATTAAGTGTGTGGGGAAACAAAGGCCAGGGCAGTGAGGGAATTTAGAAAAGGGCCCACAGAATATAAAGGCTTTTTTTCCCCCTTGACTTTGTACAATATGAGGAATAAAGTGTGATGGTCTTTGTGTTCGGACCTAACGTGTTATCAAAACCAGGGATATCATTGCTCCTCTCAGCTTTAATTCTCATGCAACACACTAAGAGAAGAAAATGTATGTTTTCTACTTAGTTAGGAGGTATAAGTTTGACACCTGACAGTATTGACAATATCATAACTCCAAACTTTCTTTGAAATAAGGGTTGTGGTTCAGGGTTCATGTGTGCACCAGAGTATGTATCATAAAACAAGATGCATAAATCACAGGCAAGATTTTCCCTCTGGATCTGACCTGTGAGTATTGCTTAAATAACAAACCGAAGTTTTATAACTACAACTTAGCTTAATGTGTTTGAGATAGACACTAAAAGAGAGAGAAAAGAAGTAAATAGATGAGAAAAAGGAGGGGAGAAAATCGTAGGGGACTGATAGAGAAGAGCAGAATGTAGACAAAACAGAGGAGTGGAAAACTGAGAGACAAATAGGAAATAGATAAGAGAGAAAACAGGAAAGCAAGATGGAGAGAAGCCCTGGAGGAAAAAACTCGATCAATCAGGAACGCAGGTTAAGTAAAGAAGAGAAGGAAGAGACAGGATGCTGTAAGAGTCCTCTCTTCCTTCGTCCCTCCGTCTCGCTCGTCCTTTTCTCTGAGTCGTTCTGCTCTGATGCCTCACAGAGAAGCAGCGCAGGCAAATCTGCTCCCTGCAGCCACTCCTCGCTTCAAATGAGTTTAGGCTGCACCTAAATGAACTTCTCGCGGAGTTCTTACTTCACTTCTACCGGAGCAAAACATGCAAAGCCACATCTCTGGAGTTGAAGTAAAGCCAAACAGAGGAAATGCTGCCTAACGTAAACAAGACTTCCCCTCGAAGTCTCTAGATCTCCATGCAGGGTTATTACATTTGATATATATTGTTGCAGAGGTTTAAAGGAGCAAACATCAGGGATTGGCTGGACAGTGTAACAAAAGAAAAACTGCAGCAGCAATCTTTCATGTTGGATACCTTGAGATTTCGGCCTCATGTATCTCGTGAATGTGTGTGTGTGTTGTCTACATGTGTGTGTGCTCTCCTGCTGACCTGGGGGTTCACACATTATTCCATTTCCCTGTGTTCAAGCTGTGCAGCGGTTTCACTGCAGGGATCTGTAACTAGTGAGCCTCTGTGCTTGTTAGCTGAGCTTTGATACACACACACACATACACAAACAAACACAAATGTACCTTTACCACATTTTTTTAGTCAACTTGCTGAGTCTTCCAGCACAGCCAGGACCACAATCACGGACCCCTCTTTGCCTCCCACATCCAAAAACTCTGTAATTACCTCATGCACTATGAGAAGGTGAAATACTATTGCAGTTAAATGATGCTTTGACTGAAAAGAACGAGCAAAAGAGAACTGAGTTCATCTCATCTATTTCAATTAAAAGAAAGGAAAAGTCACCTTTACTCCACGTGAAAAGAAAAGTTCAGTGATGAAAGAAAAAGGAGCCAATGACTTTTCTACGGCCTGATGGACAGAGATGGAAATACAGAAATTCAGCTTTTTTTAAACTTGCATGTCACCTCATTCTCTCTCCTTCCCGCCTCAACCTCAATCCACTGTCCAAAAATTAAACACCATGCAGATTTTGATTAGATTTTCAAGACTTATTGATTTAACAAACAAATTAACACGACTAAGCTGTGCCTTTTAAGCCTTCCACAAACCCCAGAACGTATCCTTGAATAAACTGTCCCATTCATTACGAGATATGAAAAAAAGACACACAAAGGCAGACACAAACACACGCACACGAAGTAAAATGAAAAACCAAGACGAGCAAAATGAGCAAAAGACAAACCAGACAGCAACTAAAGATTGCTTATTTACCATTTCATGTTCAGTTAAGTCCACTTAAGTGAAAACATAAAATTGAGGGCTTCAAAGACAGCATGATTTCAATTATTTGCGTGGACAGCATTATTTTGAAGCACTTACTCATCTGGGCAGACATCAATAAGTGAGCTGCAGGAAGTAGTTACATAAAAAACAGCAGGAGAAGAAATCAATGGACAAATGATTTCTCAAAACCACTCGTTAATTTTTCGTTTCTTGAATGAGCCTCAAAAGTGGGGCAAATTGCTAGGCTAACGCTAACTCCCTCTGGATACAGAGAGGTTGTTTTTATACAGTGTAGAAGTGCGCTTAATCGCTGATGTTTTTCCACCGGAGTCTGCCATCGTTCATCCAGGCCTATTAAAGAGGCGGAGCAACGTGATTATCGGACATTATGGTGCATGCACCTGCTTCTTTAGGGTCAAAAAGAAACGGGAAAGGTGAGGGGAAAGGAGAGGGGGGAAGAAATGTACTTCTCACATGAAGTGTGTGTTTCTTCATCAGGCAGGGCTAATGTATCACCCATTCAACACCCAGGAAATTACCTCAGGATAGCGCCCTCCTTTCTCTCTCTCTCTCTCAGGCATGATTAATTGATCCGGAGAGAACAAGAGGAGCAGAGACAGAGGGAGGAAAAAGTGCTGATGTGCTTCGGAAGTAAAGGAGATTGGAAACACAGCGGGGATAGGAGAGAGCGGTGCTGACCTTTTTGACTATTAATGAAAGAGGGAAATGGTAACATCTGAAAATGTCTCAGGTTCCTAATGAAACCAGGATCTAGAAGTGACACTATTGCAGGGGCCCCTGAGTCAATCATGATCTGGAGAGGGGAGGCATGGAGGGAGGGAGAACAGGGAAGTCTGGGAGTCTGGATTTCAACTTCAAAACAAGAAAAGTCCCATTCTGAAATTCATGAACACTTTAAACGAGGAAGTTTCCGAGGAAGATAATAAACAAAAAATTACTTCATCATTTCCAACCAGAATATTCTGTATGTGTGTGTTTTTGTGTCTCACCAGGCTTGCAGCTCCTGCTCTGCCTTGGCCCTGTCCTGCTCCAAGCCTTTGTACAGCTCAGCAGTGATCTTCTTCCTCAGGGCCTCTTCATCAACTGGGGAGGAAAAACAAGAGAAGAGCAATGGAGGTTTATAAAAGTAAACAGCTATTGTTTGCTGACAGGCATATTGTGTTTGTTTGGACACTGAATAGAGTCCTATTGTATAAAGAGGTCAGACAGAGAGAGAGGTAGGTGGGTGTTAGAAAATCTGCATTAATCAGAAAATGTGTTGTTGAGAATTTACATATAAAATATAATGATTCAGTGAGAAGTCCAGATTGGTCTGTCTGGGTTGTTACCAAAGCTGCAACTATTAGCTGTTAAATGGGGTAAATGAGCTGAATGACAGGCAATCTATTGTCATTTTTGATAAAGAGTTATTGTTTGTCCACTAATCATTAGTTCCAATGCAGAAATTCTCTAATTCTTTAACTGTAATGTTAATGTAAAAGTTGACTGTTGTTAGTTTCTGTGGGGTTTCTATCTGCAAACAAAAAACAAGCTGAGGTATATAAAAATGGTCACTTCTCCCAGTATTTCTAAAAAGAAATTAAAGGCATACTGATTAAGTAATGTGTTTTCAATCAGGCTTTCAACTTGATGTAACTTCAGAGTCCAAGACAGTCTTTTTTTCATTGTTTTTTTAATAGATTTATCTATTCATTATTTTTTTGTGCTGTGTTCATGTGAGATTTTAATGAATCCTAATACTATTCCTTCTTAAAGTTACTTCTAGATGGTGGTTCATTGATTTCTCAAATTTTCTGTCAGTCATTACTACCAATATGTTTTCAGTCCTGGCACCACTAATGTTCCGCCCACAACACTTTTTGATTGGCTTACAGTAACTAGGTTACTCTTGTAAATGATGGTGAACATTTCAATCTGTGAAAAATATGTGCTGAAGTTTGTAATACTCTGAATTTGGACTAGCATATCAGTCTTAAACATTGCTTACGACTCTCATTAATTACAAATAATTAGTATCAGTATGAAAGGTGCACTGTACATTGAGTTGAATACTTGAATAAAGTTTTAAGCCTTTGGATTCTTGACTGAAAATCTGGATAAAACAATTCAATAATAACCCCCTAACATTGAAGAAATATTAATACACATTTGTCACTTTTTTAATGTTCCATAAACCAACAGTAAAAGTTCCAGCGAGGAACGTCTGTGTTGACTCTGGTACCCCTAGTGGACAATGTGATGACCCTGACATTGTTGCTGATGCATGATCCTTGTAAAAGCATTTAAATGGCAAAAATCTCCTACTGGTGCCTTTTCAGTAAATTATTAATATCTGCTGTGAAAAAAGGACCAAAATCTGTTTCTTTAGTGCACCTACCCCCTCACAGCAGACACGGGCATTACAAAATACTGCAGAGATGTTATTAGTTTGGATGTTGGTGGTGTCATCATAGAGATGCATTACTGTTCATCTCTGTTTGTTTCATAACCAAACAAAAACTCCTCAGCTTTAAGAGCTTTAAGTTTAATCTAGTTTAATTGTCTGAACACAAACACACACAAAGCTGCAAATACATCCTCCTTTCTCAAATCCCAGCACCAGCCCCCCTATCTACATATATTCATGTCAGGGGACATCATACATGTATGACTCCATGTCTCCACCGGTCTATCTCCGCAGGTAATTAAGCATGAAAGTAAAGATGCCAGCCTGCGACTCGGTCAAAACGTGCTCTGAAGGCAGAAGTGCCATGTGGTGACACTGCAGTGTGTGTGTGTGTGTGTGTGTGTGTGTGTGTGTGTGTGGGGGGGGGGGGGGGGGGGTGTATTTAGGGGTGTCTGCATGTGTCAAGATTACTTTCCTCCTGTATTTGTTCGATAGGATAATCCCTGTTGTCAGAGTCCATTATTACCTGGTTACATGTGGTAACAGCAGAGTCACTCATAAACCTGATCCCAGCGTCATCAGATGGGCGGTAAGTGTTGAAAATGTGTAAAAGAACGTCTTGGCGCTTCATCTTGAATTCTGCCATTTAGGCAGAAGTATAAGAAAGTGCTGAGTGAATGTTTCCTTCTATTTACTCTTTAATTACAAAGTCACCAGTGGAAATGAAGGAAGACAAGCAAATTCATGAAATGATATCAATACACTTTGCTTTTGTTTTTATGGCTTGTAATAGCTTTCCCTCATTTTCCCATCTAACGAAATCTGCCTGGCAGGATTTTGTGTAAACCTTTGTGCAGAGAAACTCAAAAAGAAAATCCACAAACCATTGAAAGCATGAAATAATACGTTTTTGGCTTGTTGGCTTTACCTGTTAAGTTTCTTTTGCAGTGCAGGAAGAAGTTAAGCTGAGTTTTATTGAAAAAGATTGAATTTCCTTGACTGGTGCATTCAGTGGCCTGCACTTCTGAGCCTGTGCTTTTAAGAACAGCATTAAAGTCCTGCTAATAAGTCATTCAAAATAAACAGTCAAACTATCAGGGACACACCCTCACCCAGGGGAAATGATCTTTAGCAGTCATACGTGATAATATAAGGATAAACTGAGATAGTCAATGCAACAGGTTGTATGAAAACAACACATCTAAGCTCATTACTAAGTTCTTCTACCTCCCACTGCTGTGATTTTAGTTGTCCTCACCTTTTCAGTATCTTTTTCACACCCACACTGTAAGCTATTTGCTCTTCAGTGATATCCATGCCTTAACACACTAGAATACAGAAAATCTAATAATGCCAACCTCTGGAGCCTTCCTAATTTCTGACAACTACTCACTGCAGTTAGGAAAGTGATAAAGCACTGAAAGGCAAAGGTAGAGGGTTTAAAAGGGCTTCAGGATAAACACTATCTTAAGCAAAGGCACTGATTGACAGCTGGCAACTGTTTCATACTATTCAATCTCTAAAAATACAGACGGCTGTCACCTGCAGTCCAGTGCATGAGAGAATAATATTCATCTTGTCTGACGGCACCATTGCCCGAGGCACCATTGATCCAACTACAGAGAAGAGTTTAATTAAAACTCTCTTACACTGTTAGACAACCTGCTATGAGGAAAACACACCTTCACGTTAGGTGAATATGAAAACATAAATGAAGACAGCATTTTCTGTGTCAACTGCCCTTTAAATATTCAAGATACTTATTTAAAAAACACCCTTTAAGCAACACACTATGGAAAGTAAATTCACAAAAAGTCCTCTAGGTTTAGACATGCCTGAGCAACTCCTTTTATCACCAGATCCTCTCCAGCCCTGCAGAGAGAGGTTTCAGATAGCTAGCAGGCCCGCAAGGTCAACTGGAGAACAGGTTCTGATATGATAAACACAGTCTGGGGTCCTTGAGGAAGCCTGGGTAGGGTCAGAGACAATTCTAGATCAACAGCGCCCGTGTCAATCCTGAGTAGGACATGTAAATGTTAAAAAGATTAAAAACTCATCATCTTTTTAGACGTGTCCCCTCCTTCCCGACTCCACCGATCACTAAACCCTGTGGAAAAAACCCACAGTGAAGGAGAAGAGGCGGTGGAGCACGGGCTATTGGCAGTGGAGATAATAGACGAAGGCAAATTGCGTTTCTCATCAGAAGTTTCATTAACCCCACGACCCGCGTGGAGGGCATAATCTGTAACATTACCACTTCCTCACGTTTCTTGCGAGCGCTTACTCAAGTCACTGCACACCTTTCACAAGGTTCAAAATAAGAAAAAAAGCCCAAAGAGCAAGCTTCCAGCTCTAGCAGGCAGGTGCCAGTTCTGATTTTCTCTCATTCACACACTCCCTGTTAATTCAATCTCATGTAGTGTAATGGGCCTTGAATTATCATTTCACATTTTCACAAGATAACAAGCAAAGACAGTTTCAAAAGGAGAATGATATATTTCACAAGTTTCTAACATAGCCACTCACACTCCTCCAATTGTCTCTCCTGCTCTGTCATTCTCTCCGCTGCACCTGGGAGACATCTTTTAGCAGGCTATTAGTCCAGCCCAGTGTGTGGGCTCTGGCATATGAATATTTATAGCACATTGGAGAAGGTGTAGGAGGTTCAACCTTGACTACGGCGTAATCAGCACACATACTGACTCAGGCCATGATTTAGAGACAGCTGACCTGCTGAGAGCCTTACTCGATACCAAACTCTTGTGGATACACATAATCAATGTCCGCCTCATTACGGCCGTACCCTTTTAGGATTGGGCTGAACTTTGCAACTTTTTAACGAGATTCACATTTACATTCATAGCGCTTTCTTTTTATTATTTTGTCCCTTAAAAAGATCAGGTTTGATATATAGTCCTCGTTGATTGTTTTTTTCCCCCTTTCTCCTTCAAAATACCTGCTGAGCTCGGTATAAAATAAGTGACGGCAGGACCTTGCAAGGACAAGACACCTGAGTAAATGTCATCCAACATCATTGTTGTGTGACTCTATAACAATGAGCAATAGGCAAGAAACTTTAAGGAGTCAACAACACACAAAAATTGAAACCATGGTGGCAATTAGGAGTGTAAGAAAAGATGAATGCACTGATTTTTTTTTTTCTTTTTTGAGGGAGAATGGATTTTTAAAAAATTGTCACTTTTTGATAAGTTATGTGTGTTTGTTCAGCTCAGCTGTTGGATACAGAGGCTACCGCCCTTAGTTGAAGATTAAATCAGTCAATCAAGCAAGCTTCATTTAGATAGCACCTAAAATCATGCAAATCAGAATGCATTTCACAGTGCTTTACAAATAGGCTGCAAAAAAGAGGAAAAGAGACTATCTAAAATCAAACAAGTCCAAAAAATTATCCTTGGGGTACTCCAAAAGGTTTATCTAATACAATTCAGAGTTATTGCAATGTATCATTGAAATAAACTGATATGGGATTGACTATTTTGAAGTATTTTAACACCAGCCAGCATGCTCACTTACAATGTCATAATGTCATTTAGCAGATGCTACTGCCATGCAGTGTTAAAGGCAATGTATGGCAGTACATTTGTTTGGATGATCTATCTTAATTACAAGACACTCTGGGGAGACTATGTCTCTTAACTGTCCTGGGAACGCCTCAGGATCCCCCGGGAAGAGCCGGACAAAGTGGCCGGAGAGAAGTAAGTCTGGGCTTCCCTGCTCAGGCTGCAGCCCCCGCAACCCAACTCCAGTCAAGCAGTAGAAGATGGATGGGTGAACTATCTTAATGAATCTGGTGACTGAGAGTATAAAAAGCCACGCTAGGGTCAAAGAATGCAAATTGTATCATCATTTTCTAGCCAATACCAACTTCTATGATGTCAGAGCAACTACTCAAATAAAGCCAATACACAAACACTCAATACTGCAGATCTAGAGATAATGTTTATGTCTTTACTTTGTTTATTTTTCATTTAGACCCTTCAGCTTTTTGCAGCTTTCCATCTGTATGCTTCTATATAAAAGAGCCAGATTAAGAGATGGAAAGATGATAACCAAAAGTTAGTGTTGAATTTACATTACTGGCCAAAAACATTGAGAAGTGCTTTGAAAGCAAGAGCAAACTACACAACCCTGCCACAGAATTTAGCGAAGTATTATTGAATTTAACTTTGAATCTGAAAAACTAATTGGCATGAACAATGAAAAAACAACTTCATTTAACATGGTGAAAAATAAAACTGCATTGTGAAAGTGGCCTCAGAACAAATAGGAAAAAACGGGCCGACAAACAAGTCTTTATGTGGAATGGGAATGAATAAATTCTTTTAATTATCCAATTGTGTTTCTAATGCGCTAAAACTAAAAGGCAGTTGGCTCTTAGAAAATGCATTGTCATATCACAGAAGCCCAATGGCAAAATAAAAAAGTGAAAACACACACACACTCACACGCTGGCCACCTCGGTCCCTTAATGAGGCCTGGTGGTTTGTTGTGTGAAACTGCAGAGGTGTCGTTTTAATCACTGGAGTCAGTGTGGCGTGGCATAAGTTGGCCCTTTTTTAATTACCTTACTGATTGAGCACAGTCAAGGATGGGGGAGTCTGCCCACACTCTGCATGCCAGCTTCTGTACAACCAGCCCCCACCATCCATGCCTCCCACGCCCCATTCTATACTGCTTGATGAAGAAGTAACATTCAGATGTCCTCTGTCGGATATGTCAAGAGACAAGGGATGTGCACCCTCGCATTAAAGACAAAAAGGCTAAAAACTTTGTCAGAGAGACAGAGAGGGAGGTGAACGATGGGAAGAGCTTGTGTGTTTGTTTGAAACCTCACACACACTTTGATCACTCAAACAGTGTAACTTAATTAACTCTGCAATATTGCTGCAGTTTGACGCTGGTATCACAGTGATGTAGTCCACTTTGTCAGATTTTTTTCAGCTGACAAAAATATTTGATCAAACTCGTTGCAACCATCAAACTTTGCACTTGTCAAGGATTACAGAGGCACCCGTTATGATGTGAGGTTAAAGGGTTCAATAGAGTATACATTTTACAGGGTTATGAGAACACACTCCTATTTGCACATCTGTTATTAATTAGCTGCCTTTTTAAACAGCAATTAAACCTTGCATTTAGAGGGATATCTGGTCACTTGTTGAATGTAAGGCCAATATTCATTTTCCTTTTGTTTCGTTGATTCATCAGAAAAACTGACAACAGATCAGAGACCATTTTCACAAAGCTTCCCAGCTCCTCATGACGAAATTCTAGGAAAGTTCTTCAGATTATAATGTTTCCTCAGAATTCCCCCTGAAAGTTAAGACGAGAACCCTGCAAAGATAAAAGTTTATCTCAAAGTATCTCAGCCCTCAGGTGAGAGCTCCTGAGGTGAAAGACTGTTAGGAAGACTTTTAAAGAGGCTTAGGAGTTTCTCAAGAAAAGGAGGAAATGACAGAAGGAGCATGACAATGACACAGAGGGAACGTTCTCCAAACAATAAATGGGAGCGAGATAGTCAAACATGATGGATTGGATCATGCGGTGATCATGTTTGCAGTAAATCTCCCAGCCGGTGCAACAACACAATATTACTGGTAACTAAAAAAATGCTTTTCTCAGAACAGATGAGCCTTGTGTGTGAATGTGCTGCTCATAACTTAGAGAGGGCCAACAACATTGGCAGAAACAAGCTGCACAAGACAGTTAAAACAACAACAACAGCAGACTAGGGTTCATTTTAACCATAAAATGTATTATTATAATCAACTTTTTGACTAATGATTTATTCAAACTTCAGCCACTGTCTGCTATTCCGCAGCAGCGCTGTTCACCGCCACCATAATACTGCTCCAGACAGAAGTTTTCTGGACTGCTTTTAAACCAGTTTTGATGCTTCCAAAGAGCAAATCCCTGTTAGTTCCCACCGCAGATGTGAGGATATCCACTTTCAGCTCTGAAAAGTTTCAAATCTTTCTAATATTTCTCCTCTTTCATGTTTGACCTCAGTGGGCGAGGCTTCTGAACCATGAATATTTAAGGGCATGACATGTTAATGACAATCGATTTTAGCCGCCACATTTATCAAGACCCAATCATACGTACGCTGGGATTAGTCAGATACGAACCCTTTCATAAATCTCACGTGTGTCCTATCGTACTATGACTCCTGTGCTCAGATCTGCACTCAGTTCTACGTAAGATTGATAAATGAGGGCCATTGTGTTTGCTGGTAGTCTGTTGGCATCTACAGTAGCACCAATGCTTTTTACTTTCACGTTGACTGGGCCCCATTTATTATCTGAAGTATTTATCTGCATTACATCTGAATTTAATTCAATCGATACGAGCGAGCAGGAGCTTCTGTTTGTGGGCGGGGCTTGCTGGAGCAGAGACGGAGGGGAGAGGAGGAGCTGAGGGGAGAACTGGTTGGGAGGGGTAGTGTTTACATTCAAGATTTCTCCCAAAAACCGGCACTCCCTCAGATCCTGCCTACCTCATCTTTAATTTACACTGATGACTAAAACAAACTGAAACAAAACAGTAACTTCTTGTTTTCCATTCCTTTTTTTTTTTTTAGTCTGACAGGGTTACATTTCTAGGACAACACCAACTCATATTTTGTAAAAGTTGAAACTTGGTCTGAGTTCAAGTATTTTCCTTGCTCCCCTGAACCACAGGAAAGAGAGGGGTTATAGTGACAGCTTGAGGTCCATAGTGACAAGGCAAAGTGAAAGGCGACTAATTACAGCATCAATTCATTAACATTATAACAAGGAAGAATTAATCATTTTATTAACAGTGCAGGAATGGCAATGAATCATAATATGACTAAGGCTACTTTGGGGCCTGTTTTTAAAATGAAGACTAATTACAAATTGTGGGAAAAGTTCAAGACAAAAAGCTTAAGGTGGCTCAAAGTAAACACACACACAACGAGCACATCATTAAAATTCAATAAAGCTGGACTTAAAAATAAATCCTTGGACAGTTCATTCCCTTACAACCTTTGGCTGTTAATTAACCAGGCTGCTGAAGGAGGCGCACATATGTTTTAGGATAAAAATGAGCCATGGACAAAGACAGAATAAATTCCTCAAGGTTTTTGAACTAAAAATCAGCCCTGTCACTTGTTAGAAGAAATTAGATGATTGTTCTGCTGCCTTGTAGGTCATGAAGCACAGATGCACAAATCCAGTAACAGCAAGGTGAAGTTATCAATATTTAAAAGTGTGTCTGAAGCTCCATTTCAAGGTTCAAGAGCAAAAAGTAAATTTGATTAAACTCACCAGTTGGTGCAGGAGGAGGTGGTGGAGGAGGCGGTGAAATTGACTCAGGCACTACCACTGGCTCTGGGACAGGAGCAGGGGTTACTGGTTCCACTAGGGGCTGGGGAGGAGGTGCAACTGGTTCAAAAGAAGCAGTAAACTCAGGCAGGGGAGGGGAAGCGAATGGCTCAGCAGGCTCTGGGGACAAAGTGTCACCTGAAGGCGGCAGGCTGGTGGCAGGCTCAAAAACAGGAGGGGAGGACAGGGGCTCTGATTCAGGGAAAGATGGAACACTGGCGGGTTCAATATGCATTGGAGGAGGGGCTGACATGGGTTCCACAACAGGTGGAGCAATGGTTTCAATAACATGTGGAGGAGCAATGGGTTCAATTACAGGAGGAGGAGGAGAAGCAACAAGCTCAATTACGGGAGGAGGAGAAGCAACGGGCTGAATTATGGGAGGAGGAGTAGCAACGGGCTCAATTAAGGGAGGAGAAGTAGCTATGGGCTGAATTATGGGAGGAGGAGTTGGTTCAACAACAAGGGGAGGGGGAGCAAGCGGAGCAATTTCTTCCACCAAAGCAGGAGCATGGCAGGGAGGGGAAGCAAGGGGAACAGATGTAGGCAAAATAACCGGCTCAATAGCAGCAGGAGCAAGCGGAGGAGGTACTGCTGCGGGCTCAAAAGCAGGAGCAGCTACAGTATCAGGAGCAGCAGCAAGGGGCGCTGAAGCTGGAAGCACCATGTCAATAATGGTGGGTGCTGCTACCTGTTCTGTAGGAGGTGGAGGTGGAGGTGGTGCTGCAACAGTCTCTGTGGTAGATGGAGCTGGTGGAGGTGGTGCTGGAGGTGCAACGGGTTCAACAACAGGAGGGGGAGGAGGAGGAGGTAAAGAGGTGATTGGGTCAAATGGAGGTGGAACTGGCCGCAGGAGAGGAGGGGGTATGAAGGTAGGCGCTGCAGAAGGTGGCGGAGGGGGAGCTTGCTGGAGTTTGGGAGGGGCTGCAGGTTCTCTCATGCGGTTGATGACATTCTCGGAAAGCTGGAAAGGAGAGTGGAAGAAAAACTTCAGCAGAAATATAAAAATATGATTGAATACTTTGCATGTGTAAACTTATTTAAAATCACAACTTTCTTTTTCAACCTTTGTCTAAAGAACGATTAAGCAGAGGAGACACAAACAGGAAGATGTAGCTATAGCCTCATCTGCTCAACATCTCAATGAAACTGTAGTCAGCTCAGGCCCGAACTTAATACTTAACTGACAGAGAACTTTAAAAAAAATGTGAGACGCTAAGGTGTTAGCCTAAAAAGATTTTAAAAATTCAAGGAAAAATTCTAACCATGTCAGAAGACTCTAGAGGAAAAGTTTACAGCCTCACTTCCCCATAAACGTGTAAAAACTCGAGACATCCCAAGGTGTATCACTGAGAGTATAGCCAAAAACATATGAACATTTTCTGTAGTCAATAACCAAGGATTCAGAGGGTTAGTAAACCACCTGGAGCCACGCTTAAGTCAAACACAACTTGCCTCTCATGAAAACACAAGAACACAAGATGTATTTCTGGGAATAGAGGCTAAGACCTAAAGGGACTTTCTGTGGTGGACATCAGAGGATTCTGAGGGTTAGTTAACAAACCGTAGGCAAAGAATCCCACCACAGCCATGCTTTAGTCGAACACTACCAACTTTCTACAGAGAGAGACGCAGAATAAAGCTACTAATAGCCTTAAGCAAGCCAAGTACAACTCACTAACAATGGGTGGATGAAATTTACAAGCTACCCAGAACAATATATGGCTTGATGTTTGGTTTGGATTGTAATTAGTGGCATACCAGCACTGGGCCTCACAAGGCTGATATCACCAATATCTATCCAAATGAAAAACACATTTGACGGCATATTAGATCTAAAACAATCACTGGACAGTGTTGAATGTAAATTCTGTTGAATGTTAAGAATAATATAGTTAAATGATGATGTTAACATCTAAGTATTTTCAGTTGTACTCATTTCAGATAGCTCCATAGAAATCCAATATGTATTACACATGAATAGGGGAGAGTGGGGTAAGTTGAGCCAAAGGGTAAGGTGTGCCACCTCCTGTTTCTTGGAAATGGTAAAAGAAATGGATCATGTGACCAAATATTTAGGAGATGGGCATCAATTCATGGAGTCTGTGAAGGTTAGAAGCACATGGGTGAAGGGGTTAGACATTTATTTTAAAAAAAACATTTTTCACTCTTGAAAGTGAATTTAGTCTGTCATAAGTCTAATTAGAATTGTGTTCAGCCAAAAATGATCATTTTAAATTCATTTTATACATCAATTGTGGTATCTATGAGCTACAGTATGAGGTCAAAAACCTAGCATAAAAGTCCACCATTTTAGCTTAAAGGACTAATAAAGTCATAATAGTAGTTCTGTGATAAATTGAGCTGTTGGCGTAACTGAGAAATTAAAAGGAGTCTGATAAGAGGATCAGAGTTTCAGTTCAGATTGTTGAAATGTGTTCATTTTTCTTTTCAAAAATACAGCTGTGAATGTTCTGAATCACTTCAAGACATTCTAATGTTAAAATGGCTTTTTACAAAACAGCTTTTTAGCAGTTATATGCAATAATAAAAAGAGTTATTGCACCAGTTGAATAGCGTATAATACATAAAAATACACATGAATGTGAAGGGAGGGCTGGGGTGGAGAGTGGGGGGGTTGTAGGGGTACGGCTCAATTTATCCCGCTCCTATGGTCAATTTACCCCATATACGGGGTAAGTTGACCATAGGAGACCACTTTTTTTGGCATGCTATGTTATCAAGACAGTCATGTTTACACTCATTCTGTCGGTTTGCAGGGATGCACAACATCTTGAAATATATGCAGATACACTAGTTAGAGACTAAACTTTGAGTGCCTTGATGTACTGATCCAAAATATGAAAAATGGCTCATCTTACCCCACTCTCCCCTCATATGTATAAACCCAATGTGATATTGGCATATCAACATTATAGCTAGGTTATCAGCCAACCCACTTGTGCTGGCATGAAGTAAACAATGCCTTTTACAGATCTGTTTATGTAACCACTAAAAGCTGTGGCATGAACAGGATTACCACCCGTTGAAAGTCAACGTTAGCCTGCATGGTTCCCTCGCCAAAAGAGCAAAAATAGACAGGGTCGTGCCAACCAAAGTCTTACCTGATCGACTAAAGCTTCTCAATCTAAATTTAACATCAGATGCATACAGTGGAAAACCCCGAGACGGGTCAATGTTAGTTAGTAACAGAAGCTGGAAGCCTCTAATGACAGCAACATGTAGATGCATTAAATCAAAACAAAAGTGGTGATATCAAGTGTTATAAAGAGAGCAACAGGCCAGTGAGAGTTTACTTTCACTCATGCTGCAGTTTGATTGACAGACGGCTCAGCACGAGGACAATGACGTCAACGTCAACATTTTCAACAAGGACGTTCAAAACTGTAATTAAATTCACTTTTTAAACGACTACAGCAGGTGTGGATATCTAAATAAACTATAAAGTGAAATAATACTTTCTCCTCGGCTACTGTGGGGATGAATGAAAGTCAAGCTGCACAGTCTTACTGCTAAAACAACTTCACATACAAACAAAGTGTGCAGTACGAAGCACAGCACTTTGAATACAGCTTTTAACGCCATAATATTTAATATTTTCACTTTGAGCGAATGTTTACTTAACACTGAGCAGGTTCATATACTTTAACTTACCCGTATGCCCTTCACCACAGTTATGTTCTCGTTCTCGTCTGACTCGAATGACACGCGGCGGGTACTGTTATTCGCTCCCATTGTCAGACCGCAGTGGTTTTATCCACAAAGGATATTTTACTTAAATATCTATTTTAAATAGTTTTATTGCGGTACAGTCACGTTAAGCTAGGTCCCATACACCACTGCTTCAGCACGTAGGCGCTTCCTTAGCATGACGTGTTTTAAGGACGCGTAATATGATTGGATAAGAGGATCTTTGACTCCAGTATGAACGGTTTTGTTTGGTTTGTTGGATGAGTGGGTGTGTGGCAGCATATGGCATGCCGGTTCAACATTATTTGACAGACTGGATGTGTTGTTTATTATTTAGAATAACCACTATTGTATATTCTTTGTCGCATATCTTCAGTCCTTGATAGACAAGTGAACATTCTGGATACCGACTTATTTTTTTCCTTCTCCACAGTTTTCATTTCGAACATTCTTGACGCATTTTTTTCATAAATTCACAAACGAGTTTGTTACTACGACATTACAAAAGATACACACTGATGTATTTGCAAAGTTCTTCATTCGCTAATTGTAATAATCCAGTTATCCTCCAAATTGTTGTCTAGATCTAGATGTTCTGCATTAATTCATGTATCTATATTAAGATCAACAACAAAAAAATCAAAGGTAAAAATTAATGGTTTTTTTTGTCTGAGTGCTGTCATGGAAATTTTTGTATAACTGCAACTCCATGCACATGTAAATCAATCAAATTCTTTCTAAGAATTCATTGTGGGTGTGTATTCTGTAATATCAAAAAAATGCGTTCATATTGAGGACTCAGTCAAATCTTTGACACAATTATTTTTTATGAAATATGATCAAATATATTTGTAATAAAAGACCACATGTACCTGAATAGCTGACAGTGCTGTGTGCAGACAATTACATTAAAGCTTCATATATGAGGAAAAAGAAAGAAAAGGATGGAATTAGTATAGATTTCAGTGCTTTCAATCAATCACAGGGAACAACAAATGTACGTCTCAACGATATTATTTCACAGATGACATAAAGACGTTATTCTGGTATTGAGCAAAAACATTGATGACTTAGTTTGCAGGGTGAGTAATATAGTCAATGCAGCAATATTAAAAAATTGAAACAAATTAATATCAAGCATTCATGAGGCTATATTAAGTATTCATCTTGCCCAAACAGCAATTCAAGGCATTATATGTTTGGACATGTTGTCATAGGCAGATTTCTCCCCTGAGCAAATCCCCCCTTTATCACAGAATTGTATTGAACAGATCACATGAGAAAGAATGAGAGTGTAAAAAAATTGCTGGTGGGGACTCTTAAAAGCCTCAGGCTGTATGAAATGCAGTAAGCATACAATATATTATGGATGGGAATGAATGGTTCGGTGTGGGGAAAAAAAACCTTGACAACAATGGTATCCCGAACTGTATTGTAATCAAGTCAGACTTCTTAACTTCAATGGAGGAAAGTGTGCCACTTTTAATCCCAGTTATCTGGAATATTCAATTAAACAACATTGCAGCAGAGAGATATCAAGATTGCAACACTTTGATCTGCGACTGACAGCATCTCATTTGTTTTTGCTAACTACATGTCTGCTGCCCTAACCCTGACCCAGTTCAACTCAGACTATGCCATAATCAAATTTGTCTGAATGATCACGCTACTCTTTGACCAAATATGTAGCATTTTCAAGGGTACATTTAATAACCTATAGCATTTAGGTTTATTTATGTACCCCTTAGGGGTACATAAATGTCCTCATTAAGTACAAACCGCAAGGGTAGTAGTATGTACCCTCATAATGAGGTACAATAAGTATACCTTTGAGGGTACTGTTCCGTTGGACCCTTAAAGATAAGAAATGTAGCACATTATTTTTGACATTGTACTTGAATGATAAAGAGAGTTTCATCAGACTTAAAATGCATATTGGTTTGTTTTTGTTCTCTCACAGGAGAGCAACATGTTGGAGAAGTAAGACTAATGTTGGGTTTGATCTAATTAAAAATTATCTTGAAAAAGAAAACAAGGGGATGCAGTTTATCTTACTAACGCATTTCCATAGAAACAAGACAAAACTTATCTTATTACTAATACCAAGGACTTGTTTTACTACACTTTTTGTTAGGCATTACTGGAGAAATGAGGATTCTGTATTTACACAACAATCTTATCATTTTCCTAGTGCCCTATGATAGATATAAATTTTATATTGATCTTAAGGACTTTAATTAAAGACAGCACTGCTAAAAAATTTTGGATCAATAGATCTTCCGTTATAGTATTTACGTCATCATCTGTTTATTCAAAAACAGAAATGATGTGCCAATTTTAAGATACAGGCTTTCGTGCTTTTTTAAATTGCTTCCTACACAGTTTTCTTTACTAACAAAAAGGGATTGTGAACCATCATTTTAATTTAGATCCATTAAGATCATGTCAGCATGTCCAACCAGATTTTATTGTTCTCGTATTTAATCCCCACACGTCAGTCAGTCGCAGCAATCACTTAGTGTCTTGACACACAACAGTCTGAAAGAAATAACCTTGGTGAGGGGTTATTGAAAGAAAGAAGCCCCGTAGATTAGTTGGGACTTGAGAGGTGATAAGAACTTCAAAATTAAACTTGGACGTGGGAAGCTTCCGACACCTTCCAAAGAAAAACAGTAGCTCCTGGATGACACAGCGATTGTTTCTTTTTTCAGTAAGGGACACAAAGATCACCCACAATGTTATCTCGTCAGTCCACAGGCACATCAATCAAGGCCCAGGCTGTTGGGAATCGACCCTTTTTGCTCCAGAATCGATGCCCTCTTCCATTCTCATCGGTACAGCAGAGATTGTCAGAGATACAGCACAGGAGAGCCCTGCCAAATCCAGCACTTTATGTTCTAAATGGGAGAGGCTATTAACTCACTGACACACAGCGTCTCTCTCCTTTTTTCTTGGCCTGACCTTTACTTTATCAGTCTCAAGAGGACTGGATTGAAAATGGTACAATAAAGCAGTTATTTCTATTGTGATATTGGCATTGTAAATGACTTAAAATATCAATACGGTGTTGCAAGTACCATTGTTATTTTCGTGCATCAGCTACAGCAGGCATCATGATCATCTCATTGTACAATTTACCAAAAACAAACTATAATCTGGATTATGGTGATTATGTTTGATTAATACAAAGAACATATAGAAAGGATTATTAAATCAACTATGTTATTTTAAACTGGTATTTTGTCAAATTGTATGATTGTTTCAGGCAAACAAAGACGTAATATAAATATAACGAATTGCACTTTTGGATAATTTAGTAAGTAGAACCCTGATAAATTACCAATATCTAATATAATTCTATACTTCTTCAAATATACTAAAACAAATAATAATAATATATATAAAAAAACTTGTTTCCTTAGAAATTATTAACCATATTAAGGATGTTGTTTACCCACAATACAGTAGTCTGTATTTTATGATCTAATAATTTATTCCAATTTTATTCAAATTATTCCAATTTTATTCAAATTATCATTTAAACAAACTCACAAAATTTACAAAAACCCTTTTTTCCTTTTTTTATTTTCTTTCTTTCTTTCTTTTTTTCCTTTTTTTTCATAAAGCAAATACATACCACTGTTGAAGCAGACGACTTTACTGCTATAACCTACAACTCCCAGAGTTCCGTGGTGCAGCCTCGCGCTTCTTTCTTCCTGTTTGGGTGCCGCAGCTGGAAAAATGGCAGCTGACACAGGGAGATACAGGGGTGCAGTTAGCAAAAACAAAGACCCGTCTGGTCTTCTTATCTCTGTCATAAGGTAAGGTTTGTCACACTTTTTATGTTAAGTTAAAAATGCTAATAGGTCGTGTAACAGCTCTTGCAGTGCTCCTATATTTACGGTAAGACTCTAACTGACAGCTAGCATCTGTGCTAAAGCTAGGCGAAAGAACATCCTTCCTGAGTTGATGAGTTCATACAGGACAATAAAGACCACATTTGCAACTACGACATGCATTGAAAGGCTGTACAGAGTTACAATTAACTGCCGAAAAAATGTTAAATTGCTGCATGAGACCAAGACCGACGTTTTTGAATTGGTCTATTATTTGGGTTGTCGTTAAAGCTGAACATCCTGCAGGTCTACTAACTGACCCAAAACACATAATACAAGGAAATCTTGAACTTCTGTAGTGGAGATAAAGGATGACCTCAAAGAATATATAAACCTTTACCTCTCGTAGGCATGAGCAGACAGATGGTTACTGTCCTTTATGGTCATTATCGAGAAAGTACATCTGAAAGGTGTTCCCAATATTTTGTCCGCTTAATTCATAATCACGAGAGGAGCAAAATGTTAGGAACACGTTTCAATACAATACAATATACTCCTGTACAACAATAACACCCTCTACAACTTCAGCTATTGATTTAAAGAGCAACTATTTCCTTTGAGATTATGTCTGCAAAGTCTGGAAATGTAGAAGTTTTGTACAAGGAGAATTAATGTTTTATATTATCCATCTGTTCATAATGTTATGGTGGGTTCAGATACTGAGTTAACTTCTACTTTTCTTTTAATCTCCCTATGTAGGACTCTGTCCAGCAGTGAAGATGTTGAGGATAGGGAGACAGAAAAGGGTCGTCTTGAAGAGGCCTTTGAGACATGTGATAGGGATCTGGATCAGCTGATAGTTCAGCATTATGCTGAACTCACCACTGCTATCAGGACCTACCAGAGCATCACCGAGCGCATCACCAGCTCCCGCAACAAGATCAAACAGGTAGGAAGAGGGGACTCGTTCACAAAAGTGCATCTCAGACAAATTGTCATGTTTGGTTATGACAACTATGACTCAAGTTCATGCTTGGATTTTTTCTGTCGAATTCTATAGCAGCCGCTCTGACCTGTGTCAGTTTTTTCATGCACGTTAAAGTGTCTTATCACAGTATTTCAAGGCTTTAATTACTTTTCAAGATTAAAAAAATGACCCAGTACAAATCCCATCCACCCCACAGATGTAGTTTTCTCCATCACACTTCAAAAAATATTGGATTGACTGTGATCAAAGTCAATCATTCAACATCAAATCATCAGAAAACAACAATGTTTACATGATGCCTAAAAAATCAAACAGTTGGTCAGGTCTGACAAAAACTAGACTTATAAAATACATGTCAACATGTTAGTTTGACCACATTGCATCAAATCAAATTTCTCAGAGATGGGGTAACATCTCTAGATAATATGATAATAGATCTATCTTCTCTCTCATGTATATGCCGCAATTGGAGCCAGACTGGGCCAGGCGTTCATGCACTGCAATTTTAACACCAAGTATCCACTCAGAAGTCAAACAGCATAAATTAGTTGGAAGGATGCAGAGTATCAAACAAAGCCTCAACAGAAGAAAAAGAAGGGAAGTATACAAGTCAAAGCAATTGTATCATATGTAAGAAAGGTGCAGAGCTGTACAGTTTCCAGTTTTCATCAGTAGACGTTTCAAGATTTCAACCATTTGGCTTCTTGTGGATTTGTTCATTGATTGTTTTGGAATATGACAACTTAAAGCAGGTCCAATAGTATCCATTCATGTATGTACTTTTGCAGCTTGACTTATCTATGCATCTTCATGTATGAATTGATCTAGATATAAAACAATTTTGAATGACTGATCCTTCAGAGCTTCACGTTATTGTAATTGTGCCATCAATTTTGTTGAAATTGTTCAAACCTGTTTTTTTCATGCTGTAACAGAAAAGTATGTTACCTATGTTGGTGTCGTCTTCAAAACTTCATCCTGAGGTCTCATCATCCAGAATTGAAAACAGCTCAGCACAAAGCTTTTTTTTTATGTGATCTCCAAGTGTATATGAACAATTCTGCACTAGCAATTTAGACATGCACAAAGACTTACCCTGATAATGTACAACAATATATTAAAGCTGTTATCCTAGATTGACAGAATGAAAGTCAGCTGTAATAACAACAGTCGGTTAGGTCGGATTACACTGTGAAAAGTGAGTCCAGAAAACCAAGTTTGTTAGAGTGTACAGAGAAAAATTTGACATTTGATTGCTGTCCCTTAAAGCAAGGGCTCTCCGGTGTGTTAAAGTACAATTGCTCTATTTCTGTGTATTCTTCTAGTAAACTGATCTAGTAAGATTCATAGTTAATTTTTTATTATTGCTAACAAGTCTGTATATTTATGAGCACTAAAAGTTTCACAGTATCGATGCAATAGGCCACAAAATGATGCATAACAATAAAAGAAGCAAATACAGTAAAGGAAATGTTTAGAGGAAATCTTTCAGGCCTACAAACTGTGGTTTAAGTTAAGTGACAGATAGTTCAGACTGTCTTTTTCACACATCCGGGTGTTCTGGGAGTAACCTCTGTGACTGGCAGGAGTTTAATTTGGAAGGTCTGATGTGTTTTAACAGCCAAAGGAATCAACCTGTCGAGTATTTGTACTGCTTGCTTCTTCTACCCCTTTGGAAGGCTTTTCTAGCTAAAGAGTGCCGAGTTGATAAATACCGTGTCTTACTTTCGATGG